TAGATCGCGGGATCGAATCCCATTGATCTATGTAAATTTCTACATTCATTTATTATCAATTTTCAGTCTACTGGCAGACCGTTCTAGGAATCTAAATAATGGAACTGCTAACTCTCTCTGTGGTGTAGTAGTCTAAGGCACCATGCTAGAAATTCTAGAGTATAATAAGATCAAAAGAATAAAATGCCGAGGAGTTAATAAATAAAACACCTGTGCAAACATTTCTTTCTAATTATATATATATATATAATATATATATATATATATATATATATATATATATATATATATATATATAATATATATATATATATATATAATATATATAAGTAGTATATCCATTAAAAATTTAAAATCCATTTGTTAATATTGTTAAATGTTTAATTTTAGTAACAACGACCACCACCTCTACAGTTACAACTCCGCCAACATCCACAGTAGCTGCTACAACAACAAATGCAACTGCTGCAGTTTCAACATCCAATACAACTACTACAACATCATCTAATACATCTGCTACGACAACATCTAATACAACTACGACAGCATCAAATACATCTGCTACGACAGCATCTAGCACTACTGCTACAACATCAACAACTAATACAACTGCTACAGCATCAACAACTAATACAACCACTACACTATCAACTAGTACAACCGCTACAACATCAACAACTAATACAACCGCTACAACATCAACAACTAATACAACCGCTACATCAACAACTAATACAACTGCTACAACATCAACAACTAATACAACCGCTACAACATCAACAACTAATACAACTGCTACAACATCAACAACTAATACAACTGCTTCAGCATCAACAACTAATACAACTGCTACAACATCAACAACTAATACAACCGCTACAACATCAACATCTAACACTGCTACAACTACATCCACCAACGCTACTCTGGCTAACCTCACTGCGGAGCTCAACCAACTGCTCTCTGCCATAAATACCACAAATCAAGTGATTGCGTCTCTTCAAACCATGCTAACTCTACTCACAAATCTTGCTAACGCAATCAATGCTTCGATTATCGGAAGGAGAAAGCGTGACACCCCGCAAGATATCCTGGGGATTGTTGGGATTACTGCAGAAATAGAGATCGCGATTTTACAAGGGAACACCAATGGTTTAAATCTACTAGCTGCCTCACTGAACACGAAGCAAAGCAGTGTGATACAAGCAATACAGATGTATTCCAATGGGACTTTGTCAAATAGTAACAACCTTCAAGTGGCCGTCATAACAGCCATTCTCAACATAAATACTTGTCTAAACATTGCAGGAGCACTGAGAAGCAGCCAGTCAAGCAGTATAGCAATCATACAGGTACAAATCAGCGCACTAGGGGGAACCACGGTCACTGTGCCAACCGTCTCTGTCATCATACCCACCTTCATTACTGTTACAGTTGCCTCCACGAGCACCACAACCCCAGCTAGTACTACAAATTCCGCAAGTACAGTTTCAACAGGTACAGCAACTTCAACAGGTACAACAACTTCAACAGGTACACCAACTTCAGCAGGTACACCAACTTCAGCTGGTACAACCTCAGCAGGTACACCAACTTTAGCAGGTACAACCTCACCAGGTACAGCAACTTCAACAGGTACAACAACTTCAACATCTTCACCATCAACCACCACAATTAATGCACCAACGACAACCACCAATGCGACGCTCACTAACCTCACTGCACAACTCAACCAACTGTTAACTTCCTTAAATGCAACAGATCAAGCGATTTTGGCCCTTCAGTCCATTGAAACTGTACTTACCAATCTTGCCAACGTAGTTAACGCGTCCATTGTTGGAAGAAGGAAACGAGATATCTCAACAACGATCCTGACCATTGCGCAGATTACCACAAGCATGCAAACCGCGATAACCCAAGGAAATGATAATGATCTAAATAGTCTAACACTCCAACTAACAACAATACAGGTTACGGTGGTACAGACAATACAAATGATAGTCAGTAGGACATATATACCCAACGCTGGACTTCTAACTTTTGTGCAATCAACAATTACCACCGTTTCAACGTGTATTAGTGTCGCAGTAACTAGGAGGACTCAGGTGCTGAGTAACATTAACAACGTACAGAAACAAATCATCCAAAGAGGAGGAACAACTGTTACTGTACCACCAGTACCATCTGTTGTTGTTACCACCATCACTTTTCCTGTAACTACCACTCCCGTTGTTGTAACCACTACTCCCGTTCTTGTAACCACTACTCCCGTTCTTGTAACCACTACTCCCGTTCTTGTAACCACCACTCCTATTTATGTAACCACCAATCAGGTTCATGTAACAACCACTACCGTTGTTGTAACCACCACTCCTGTTGTAACCACCACTCCTGTTGTAACCACTACTCCCATTGTTGTAACCACCACTCCCGTTGTTGCAACCACTACTCCCGTTCCTATAACCACCACTCCTGTTGTGGTTACCATTACTCCCGTTGTTGTTACCACCACTCCTGTTCATGTAACCACCATGCCTGTTGTTGTAACCACCACTCCTGTTTATGTAACCACCAACACTGTTATAGAAACTACTACCACTAGTACTGAAACTTCGACCACTGGTACTGGAAACACCACCACTGGTACTGAAACCACCACCACTGGTATTGAAATTACCACCATTGGTACAGGAACCACCGCCACTGGTACTGGAACCACCACCACTGGTACTGGAACCACCACCACTGGTACTGGAACCGCCACCACCACAACTGGTATTGAAACTACCACCACTGGTCCTGGAACCACCACCATTGGTACTGGAACCACCACCACTGGTACTGGAACCACCACCATTGGTATTGAAACTACCACCATTAGTAGTGAAACTACCACCACTGGTACTGGAACCACCACTACTGGTATTGAAACTACCACCATTGGTACTGGAACCACTACCATTGGTACTGGAACCACCAACACTGGTACCGGAACCACCACCATTGGTACTGGAACCACCACTGCTGGTACTGAAGCCACCACAACTGGTATTGAGACTACCACCACTGGTACTGGAACCACCACAGCTGGTACTGAAGCCACCACAACTGGTATTGAGACTACCACCACTGGTACTGGAACCACAATCACTGGTATTGAAACTACCACCACTGGTATTGAAACCACCACCAATGGTATTGAAACTACCACCACTGGTACTGGAACCACCACCACTGATACTGGAACCACCACCATTGGTATTGAAACTACCACCATTGGTAGTGAAATTACCTCCACTGGTACTGGAACCACCATCACTGGTATTGAAACTACCACAACTGATATTGAAACCACCACCACTGCTGCTGAAACCACCACAACTGCTGCTGAAACCACCACCACTGCTGCTGAAACCACCACCACTGCTGCTGAAACCACCACCACTGCTGCTGAAACCACCACCACTGCTGCTGAAACCACCACCACTGTTGCTGAAACCACCACAGCTGCTGCTGAAACCACCACCACTGCTGCTGAAACCACCACCACTGCTGCTGAAATCACCACCACTGCTGCTGAAACCACCACCACTGTTGCTGAAACCACCACAGCTGCTGCTGAAACCACCACAGCTGCTGCTGAAACCACCACCACTGCTGCTGAAACCACCACCACTATTGCTGAAACCACCACCACTGCTCCTGAAACCACCACCAGTGCTTCTGAAACCACCACCACTGCTACTGAAACCACCACCACTGCCGCTGAAACCACCACAACTGCTGCTGAAACCACCACCACTGCTGCTGAAACCACCACCACTGTTGCAGAAACCACCACAGCTGCTCCTGAAACCACCACCATTGGTAGTGAAATTACCTCCACTGGCACTGGAACCACCATCACTGGTATTGAAACTACCACCACTGGTATTGAAACCACCACCACTACTGCTGAAACCACCACAGCTGCTGCTGAAACCACCACCACTGTTGCTGAAACCACCACCACTGCTGCTGAAACCACCACCACTGCTGCTGAAACCACCACCACTGCTACTGAAACCACCACAGCTGCTGCTGAAACAACCACAGCTGCTGCTGAAACCACCACAGCTGCTGCTGAAATCACCACCACTGCTGCTGAAACCACCACCACTGCTGCTGAAACCACCACCACTGCTGCTGAAACCACCACCACTGCTGCTGAAATCACCACCACTGCTGCTGAACCACCACCACTGCTGCTGAAACCACCACCACTGCTGCTGAAACCACCACCACTGCTGCTGAAACCACCACAGCTGCTGCTGAAACCACCACCACTGCTGCTGAAACCACCACCACTGTTTCTGAAACCACTACCACTGCTGCTGAAACCACCACCACTGCTGCTGAAATCACCACCACTGCTGCTGAAACCACCACCACTGCTGCTGAAACCACCACAGCTGCTGCTGAAACCACCACAGCTGTTTCTGAAACCACCACCACTGTTGCTGAAACCACCACCACTATTGCTGAAACCACCACCACTGCTCCTGAAACCACCACCACTGCTGCTGAAACCACCACCACTGCTGCTGAAACCACCACCACTGCCGCTGAAACCACCACAACTGCTGCTGAAACCACCACTGCTGCTGAAACCACCAGCACTGCTGCTGAAACCACCACAGCTGCTCCTGAAACCACCACCATTGGTAGTGAAATTACCTCAACTGGTACTGGAACCACCATCACTGGTATTGAAACTACCACCACTGGTATTGAAGCCACCACCACTGCTGCTGAAACCACCACAGCTGCTGCTGAAACCACCACCACTGTTGCTGAAACCACCACCACTGCTGCTGAAACCACCAGCACTGCTGCTGAAACCACCACAGCTGCTCCTGAAACCACCACCATTGGTAGTGAAATTACCTCAACTGGTACTGGAACCACCATCACTGGTATTGAAACTACCACCACTGGTATTGAAACCACCACCACTGCTGCTGAAACCACCACAGCTGCTGCTGAAACCACCACCACTGTTGCTGAAACCACCTCCACTGCTGCTGAAACCACCACCACTGCTGCTGAAACCACCACCACTGCTACTGAAACCACCACAGCTGCTGCTGAAACAACCACAGCTGCTGCTGAAACCACCACAGCTGCTGCTGAAACCACCACCACTGCTGCTGAAACCACCACAGCTTATGCTGAAACCACCACCACTGCTGCTGAAACCACAACAGCTGCTGCTGAAACCACCACCACTGTTTCTGAAACCACCACCGCTGCTGCTGAAACCACCACCACTGCTGCTGAAACCACCACCACTGCTCCTGAAACCACCACAGCTGCTGTTGAAACCACCACCACTGCTGCTGAAACCACCACAGCTGCTGCTGAAACCACCACCACTGCTGCTGAAACCACCACCACTGCTGCTGAAACCACCACCACTGCTGCTGAAACCACCAACACTGTTGCTGAAACCACCACCACTGTTGCTGAAACCACCACAGCTGCTGCTGAAACCACCACCACTGCTGCTGTAACCACCACAGCTGCTGCTGAAACCACCACCACTGCTGCTGAAACCACCACAGCTGCTCCTGAAACCACCACCACTGCTGCTGAAACCACCACCACTGCTGCTGAAACCACCACCACTGTTGCTGAAACCACCACCACTGCTGCTGCTGAAACCACCACCACTGTTGCTGAAACCACAACCACTTTTGCTGAAACCACCACAGCTGCTGCTGAAACCACCACCACTGCTGCTGAAACCACTACCACTGCTGCTGAAACCACCACCACTGTTGCTGAAACCACCACAGCTCCTGCTGAAACCACCACCACTGCTGCTGAAACCACCACCACTGCTGCTGAAACCACCACCACTGTTGCTGAAACCACCACAGCTGCTCCTGAAACCACCACTGCTGCTGAAACCACCACCACTGCTGCTGAAACCACTACCACTGCTGCTGAAACCACCACCACTGCTGCTGAAACCACCACCACTGTAGCTGAAACCACCACAGCTGCTGCTGAAACCACCACCACTGCTGCTGAAACCACCACCACTGCTGCTGAAACCACCACCACTGTTGCTGAAACCACCACAGCTGCTCCTGAAACCACCACCACTGCTGTTGAAACCACCACCACTGCTGCTGAAACCACCACCACTGCTGCTGAAACCACCACCACTGCTCCCTGAAACCACCACCACTGTTGCTGAAACCACACAGCTGCTCCTGAAACCACCACCACTGCTGCTGAAACCGCCACCACTGCTGCTGAAACCACCACCACTGTTGCTGAAACCACCACAGCTGCTCCTGAAACCACCACCACTGCTGCTGAAACCACCACCACTGCTGCTGAAACCACCACCACTGCTGCTGAAACCACCACCACTGCTGCTGAAACCACCACCACTGTTGCTGAAACCACCACCACTGTTGCTGAAACCACCACAGCTGATCCTGAAACCACCACCACTGCTGCTGAAACCACCACCACTGCTGCTGAAACCACCACCACCACTGCTGCTGAAACCACCACCACTACTGCTGAAACCACCACCACTGCTGCTGAAACCACCACCACTGCTGCTGAAACCACCAAACCACTGCTGCTGAAAACCACCACCACTGTTGCTGAAACCACCACCACTGTTGCTGAAACCACCACCACTGCTGCTGAAACCTCCACCACTGCTGCTGAAACCACCACCACTGCTGCTGAAACCACCACCACTGCTGCTGAAACCACCACCACTGCTGCTGAAACCACCACCACTGTTTCTGAAACCACCACCACTGTTGCTGAAACCACCACAGCTGCTCCTGAAACCGCCACCACTGCTGCTGAAACCACCACCACTGCTGCTGAAACCACGACCACTGCAGCTGAAACCACCACCACTACTGCTGAAACCACCACCACTGCTGCTGAAACCACCACCACTGTTGCTGAAACCACCACCACTGTTGCTGAAACCACCACCACTGCTGCTGAAACCACCACCACTGCTGCTGAAACCACCACCACTGCTGCTGAAACCACTACCACTGTTGCTGAAACCACCACCACTGTTGCTGAAACCACCACCCCACAAGGTTAAGCAGCATAAAACTTCCTCGACAGAATCATCATCGCGTGAGTGTACAACCTTGTCCTGGGCAGACTAAAAACATTAAGAACAACAACACCATCAACCCCTGGAACTACAACAACCGAGATGTCCACTTCAGGAAATGGAACAACTATAGGTATGCTCCCCTTCGTAAGTACCACCTTGAGGGGCATACCGAGGGTCGTCTCATTCTTGAGTACTGTCCTGGGTATTTTAATAAGTTTATGAGAACTTAACAGGAATACAATTAACAGATAATCATATAATGAATCTGCATAGTTTTATTGTTATTGTATGCATATAGATTGTTAAATCACTCCAATTTCTCACATATAACCAACCTCTTCATAAATCACTTAATATGCACACACGCATATTCAAATTACACCAAAGTGGATAGGCCACTACCCTTTTTTATCCCCACCTACCCCTCCTCCCTCCCCAACCTTTCCCAAACTTCCATCCTTACCCATCCTTCTTCCCCCACTCCCCTCTTACCAAAGCTCTGGTCAAAACCTCGAACCTCTCCTGAGTGCAGTTATTTGTGTATTGTTCCAGTCACATTGTGGCATGCAAAGAGTACGTAACCTTTATTCGGCGCATGGACACACCCTCATTTACAGGCTATCTCCCCCAACCAGCGAACCAGGTTGCTAAGAGTTGATGATGGGGCCCCATCGTTCAACTAGTGACCAGGTTCTAGCCAATAAGAAGGTGGGATTGACAATCGCAGAGGTTATGTGGGTACCACTCTCCTGTCTGCCCTTGTCATTCCCATTCTAGAGCTGGTTGAAGCACGGTCTGCTATCTTGTGGCTTCTATTTCTGCCTTGCTTACCGTGACGTGCACTATACTTATTACTGTACATAGTGTACATATTGCTGTTCTAAATTGGTGAAGGATAATATAAGTCTAAACTTTTTCTGCTGTGTTTCTTTTGCTCCCATTACACCTGGGATAACAGGCCTTTGAAATCCTAGGTTGTAATACACATTATTGTGCCTTTTTGTTCTTTTAGAATGATGGAGCTATCGTTATAGAAGTTTTATTTCTTCTATGTAGGGGAATGCCATCCCGAGGGATGACATTTTCCAGGTAATAGTAACTCCAGCTCTGCTGGAACGAAGCCACCGAAGCTTGACGATATCCTCATTGTGCTGCTGAAGTCTCCCAGCTCAGGCTGGCACTTAGTTACCTATCATTTGTGATGCAACGTGACAGAGAAACATAGCTAGCTTTTGTCCTCATTGTGTAATTGTCACACAGAATAGTGCAGCAGCATACTGCTAAATAAAACTAAATAAAAATAAACAATTATGACAGAAACGAGATGACCTCCACTCTTAGCAACAACACTTACCATTATTTATCCAATAATTAATGTATTTATATATATATATATATATATATATATATATATATATATATAGATTATATATATATATATATTATATGTTCTTATGCAAATCGTTTCTTAAATATGTGGGTGTGATGCACCGTATTTTGGTCGTGTGTCAGCCGGTTGATTGTTGCACTGAGCATCGTGTGTCAGCCGGTTGATTGTTGCACTGAGCATCGTGTGTCGGCCGGTTGATTGTTGCACTGAGCATCGTGTGTCGGCCGGTTGATTCTTGCACTGAGCATCGTGTGTCGGCCGGTTGATTGTTGCACTGAGCATCGTGTGTCGGCCGGTTGATTCTTGCACTGAGCATCGTGTGTCGGCCGGTTGATTGTTGCACTGAGCATCGTGTGTCGGCCGGTTGATTCTTGCACTGAGCATCGTGTGTCGGCCGGTTGATTGTTGCACTGAGCATCGTGTGTCGGCCGGTTGATTGTTGCACTGAGCATCGTGTGTCGGCCGGTTGATTGTTGCACTGAGCATCGTGTGTCGGCCGGTTGATTGTTGCACTGAGCATCGTGTGTCGGCCGGTTGATTGTTGCACTGAGCATCGTGTGTCGGCCGGTTGATTGTTGCACTGAGCATCGTGTGTCGGCCGGTTGATTGTTGCACTGAGCATCAAAGAAAAATTTGTTCTAGACAAATATACTCTACTGAACATAATTGTTTTTATTTATCCCCTGTGTATATTCACTCAATTATTTGTGTGGATCGATCTCCAGCTCCTGGGCCCCGCCTCTAACATCGATCATCGAATATAAGTAAGTAAGTTTATTCAGGTATACATAAATACAATTACATAGATTATCATACATAGCAGCATATGTGTAGAGAACCTGGGATAACCCAAAAAAGTCGAAGTGACTTATTTCCATTGGGGTCCTTTTACCTTATTATTATAATATTAAGGTTACAATATCTTATTATTCTATAATGAAGTTAACATCTTATTATCATACTAAAAATACTATCTACTACACGAGGGTCATTAAGACTATCTACAATACGAGGGTCATTACTAAGAATAAGGTAAAATTACACGTGTGTTAGCTAAAAAATAAAAAATCATTGCCCTCCCTTTCTGTAGCTACATTCATCAAACACCTTTTGGCACTCCTCTTGAACTGGTTCATGCTAGGACTGGCTTTGACATGCGCAGGCAGTCTGTTCCATTCCTTTATTGTTGTAGAATAAAAGGTGTTTGAAGCCTGGCCACTGACCGTGGGTACTACAATATGACGATTGTATCCTGGGTATACCTGGATGGCATTCCAGGAGTTAATGCCCCCGCCCCCAAGACCATAATCAAGCCTCGCGATAGATCAGGCCTGATGTTGCTGCTGGTAGCATTTATGTTACCTGGATTTTACCTGGAGAGAGTTCCGGGGGTCAACACCCCCGCGGCCCGGTCTGTGACCAGGCCTCATGGTGGATCAGAACCTGATCAACCAGGCTGTTACTGCTGGCTGCACGCAATCCAACGTACGAGCCACAGCCCGGCTGGTCAGGTACCGACTTTAGGTGCTTGTCCAGTGCCTGCTTGAAGGCAGCCAGGGGTCTATTGGTAATCCCCCTTAGACCCCTGGCTGTCTTCAAGCAGGCACTGAACAAGCACCTAAAGTCGGTACCTGACCAGCCGGGCTGTGGCTCGTACGTTGGATTGCGTGCTGCCAGCAGTAACATCAGGCCTGATTAGTAAGTTTATTTAGGCACAATTAGGATACATAGTGTAACTTACCTAGGAATGTCCAATAAAGTCGGACAAAGTGACTTATTTCCGCTAGGGTCCTACAATTTCTATTGGGGGGTCCTCGAATTTCTGTTGGGGTCCTCGAATTCTGTTGGGGTCCTAGACCCCATGTGGAAAATATAATTACACACTGCTAATGCTGGATGTCCCGTCCCTTCATGGAGTGCAGTCACTGGTATATGCAGATAATGTGGCTCTTATTGGCAGTGCCACTTGCCTTCTGGAGGCTCAGGGAAGACTCCAGGCTGTCCTACCTGGGCCACTAACTGGAGCCTGGAGATCAGAGTGGCCATATCACTAGCTCATGTGCTTCACAAGATAGTTGTGCCGCCTGAGCAGCTAGTTTATTATGCACCCGCAGCTTATCTTGTGAGTTGTAGTACAAAAAAACACAGGATTTAAAGAGGTCACAGTGGGTTTTTGTCAGACCCAATTGGGTAACCCACTGACAGTATGACCATTGTTTTTATAGTGATAATAAGATATTGTTTTTGAGATTGTATTCCATACTATATTGTGTATATTAACTATATGAAATAAGTGTAAAACATGAAATGAATAATATTTCTTTCTAGTGATGTGAGAGTGTTAAGTGAGGTCTGACAAAGATCCATTTTGACCTCTGTAATCCTTATTTTTTTTTGCGCTACCACTCACAGGATGAGCAATGGGATGCACAATAAGATATGATATGACTCACGAAATCGTAATGACACGATTGCAAACAAACCATACCACGGGCGGGATTTGAACCCGCGGTCAGAGAGTCTCAAAACTCCAGACCGTCTCGTTAGCCACTGGACCAGCTAGCCACAATAAGATTCGTCCAACTAGGTATATTTCTACACCATAGGAAGGTTAGCATAGGCACCACTGTGACCACAAATGCAAGTTTTTACAGACGAATGATATGATTTTGTTCGGAATTTTAACCCCGGAGGGTTAGCCACCCAGGACAACCCAAGAAAGTCAGTGAGTCTTCGAGAGACTGTCTGTCTTATTTCCGCTGGGGTACTCACTCTTGTCCCCCAGGATGTGGTCCACACCAGTCACTTAACACCCAGGTACCTGCTTGCTAGGTGAACACTGACATCATGTGTAAGGAAACACGCCCAATAATATACAATAGTATACAAGCATAGCTAACATCAGTGACATACTGCTATAAAGAAAGCCGGATATTATGCAGAGCATTTCGGGTAAATTAGGTCAATTTTGTCACAGGGTGACAAACACCCAGGTACTCATTTTTACTGATGGGTGAACATAGATAACCAGTGTAAGGAAACACGCCCAATGTTACCACCTCTACAGGGAATCGAACCACGGACACTGTGTACTGCGAGAGGGTAACCTACCATACCATGGGACACCTTAAACTAGCCACTAAGGTGGCACAACGAACTAAAGTAACTGTCCCTCCTAATGAAGTATCAATTTGATGGAGGTTAGTTGCCGGACACCGGAAAGTTGGGTTCGTTACGGTACACGGTGTCAGTGGCCCTGTAAAACCATAAGAGAGGAAAAAGAGGAACCTAACCCGAATAATTTTTTTTTTCAGTATTTAATACTTAAGGGAGTTGCAATAGCACATACTGAAGCTGTGTATGTGTTAAATAAGTGTGCTGGTGAGTGTGGTCACCTGCAAATACTGCATTATCATAACTTTTACCAGAGATTTGTTGTAAAGATGAAGTCATTGCCAGCCACTGACTAAATTTAATATTAATTAACCTTGTAATTATAAAAGTAGCTTTTATTCAGGAGAATCTGGATGTTCTATAGAGAGTAATGTAAATTTTCCCAATGATATGTTACGTACTATCGTACATTATATATCTTTAACTTAGAAGGGTGAAGGGTTCTCGATCCAAGGAGTTGGACTTAATCCTACCCCTTGGATCAAACCTTACAGCCTCTCCCAGGTGCTGTATAACCCCTAATATAATAATAATACTCTTTATTTCTGACATTAATGATATATACTATATAAAAAAAAAGCCACTTGTTTTTCAGAACATTTCCTGCAAATTAGGTTAATTTTGTCCTCCAGGATGCAACCCTCACCAGTCCACTAACACCCATGTACCTATTTTACTGCTAGGTGAACATGGACAGCAGGTGTCTTAAGGAAACACGTCCTAATGTTTCCACCCGTACCAGGAATCGAACCACGGACCTCAGTGTGTGAGTGCACTAGTAACCCAGCTACGGGGTACTTAGCTACCGAGCTATGGGAAATCTAGCAGTCGAGCTACATGAAACCTAGCAATTGAGCTATGGGAAACCTACCAGTCGAGCTATGGGAAACTTAGCAATTGAGCTATGGGAAACTTAGCAATTGAGCTATGGGAAACATAGCAATCGAGCTATGGGAAACTTAACAATTGAGCTATGGGAAACCTAGCAATCGAGCTACAGGAAACCTAGCAATCGAGCTACAGGAAACCTAGCAATTGAGCTACGGGAAACCTACCAGTCGAGCTACAGGAAACCTAGCAACTGAGCTATGGGAAACCTAGCAATCAAGCTATGGGAAATCTAGCAATTGAGCTATGGGAAACCTAGCAATAGCTACAGGAAACCTAGCAATCGAACTACAGGAAACCTAACAGTCAATTTACGGGAAACTTAGCAGTTGAGCTACGGGAAACCTAGCAGTCGAGCTACGAGACACCTCTTAATCGAGTTGCGGGACACCTGGTAATTGAGTTGCGGGACACCTGGTAATTGAGTTGCGGGACACCTGGTAATTGAATTGCAGGACACCTGGTAATTGAGTTACGGGACACCTGAGTAATCGAGATACAGGAAACCTAGCAATCGAGCTATGGCACACCTAGCAGTCAAGCTATGGCACACCTAGCAATCGAGCTATGGCACACCTAGCAATCAAGCTACAGCCATCTAGCAGTCAAGCTACGGCACACCTAGCAGTCGAGCTATGGGACACCTAGCAATCGAGCTACAGGACACCTAGCAATCAAGCTATGGGACACCTAGCAAACGAGCTACAGGAAACCTAACAATCGAACTATGGGACACCTAGCAATTGAGCTACAAGAAACCTAGCATTCAAACTATGGGAAACCTAACAGTTGAGCTATGGGACACCTAACAATCGAGCTATGGGAAATCTAACAATTGAGCTACAGGACACCTAGCAATCGAGCTATGGGAAACCTAACACTCAAGCTACGGGCAACCTAACAATCGAACTACGGGACACCTAGCAGTCAAGCTACGGGACACACGAGTTTAACATTTCCCACTGAATAAGAAAGTAAAAAAAATCTTCAGCCAACGTAATTGGAATTAATGTTCTCTTCCTCGGATCAAACCTAATTATCTCCCATTTTTCAGGTGCTGTTCTTCTGTATGAATAATAATAATTATAATAATAACAGGTTATTATGTACAGTAAACATGCAATAAACACAGTAGTTTTAAGCATAAATTATGATAATTTATGTAGATATAACTTATGGAACCATAGAGAGGCCATTGTGACTAATTTCCATTGAATTTTCCGATTTGACACACTAGAGAGCAATTGTGATACAGTAGGTGGTCAGGCATCAATCCCCTTTTATTGCACAGTGATAAAGAAATGGAATGGATTGTCTGCACCAATGGAAATAAGTCACTTTGAATTTTTTGGGTTATCCTAGGTAATTTACATTATGTAAATTACCTAGTGTAGGATAATTGTACATACCTATGTGTAATTTGTTATTTATTGAAAACATCCAGGAAGGCTTCCTGTTGCTTAATGATTGACCATACAAGTGATTGGTCAGGACCTGAACATGCCAAAATTGTTTCCTCTGACATTTTTTTTTTTTTTGAGGGGAGGGGTTATACTAGGTAATTTATACAATTTTTGATAATTGTACTTGTGCACCTGTGCCTAAATAAATTTATTTACTATACTTCCAGGTGTATGTTGATGACAGGTTCAGAATGCGCACTATAAGTGTGACTCAGGACGTTCCTGCCAATGCTCTGGCCCTCAGTCCTGACAATCTTCAAGTTGTCATTGCTGGCCGCCATGGTAATATATTGTACAGCCTCTCCTCACTTAACAATGGAGTTCCGCTCCTAAGACCACATTGGTAAACAAATTTGACACTAAGTGAAGTGCATACTATAATGGTATAGTGGGTTTGTGTCAACCATCTTTGATATTGTTTTAATGTTGCCTTTGCACCATTTATAATATTTCTGATATATTCTTAAATGTTAATACAGTAGTGTACTGTATATTGTAATAAACAGAACAGAGGAAATCAGCTCTAATATACATAATTTAGGTATGCATACTGGTCAGAGAGACCGTCATAAGTCTAAGGCGATGGTAAACAATTATTATTTTTTTTTTTATCACACTGGCCAATTCCCACCAAGGCAGGGTGGCCCGAAAAAGAAAAACTTTCACCATCATTCACTCCATCACTGTCTTGCCAGAAGGGTGCTTTACACTACAGTTTTTAAACTGCAACATTAACACCCCTCCTTCAGAGTGCAGGCACTGTACTTCCCATCTCCAGGACTCAAGTCCGGCCTGCCGGTTTCCCTGAACCCCTTCATAAATGTTACTTTGCTCACACTCCAACAGCACGTCAAGTATTAAAAACCATTCGTCTCCATTCACTCCTATCAAACACGCTCACGCACGCCTGCTGGAAGTCCAAGCCCCTCGCACACAAAACCTCCTTTACCCCCTCCCTCCAACCTTTCCTAGGCCGACCCCTACCCCGCCTTCCTTCCACTACAGACTGATACACTCTTGAAGTCATTCTGTTTCGCTCCATTCTCTCTACATGTCCGAACCACCTCAACAACCCTTCCTCAGCCCTCTGGACAACAGTTTTGGTAATCCCACACCTCCTCCTAACTTCCAAACTACGAATTCTCTGCATTATATTCACACCACACATTGTCCTCAGACATGACATCTCCACTGCCTCCAGCCTTCTCCTCGCTGCAACATTTATCACCCATGCTTCACACCCATATAAGAGTGTTGGTAAAATTATACTCTCATACATTCCCCTCTTTGCCTCCAAGGACAAAGTTCTTTGTCTGCACAGACTCCTAAGTGCACCACTCACCCTTTTCCCCTCATCAATTCTATGATTCACCTCATCCTTCATAGACCCATCCGCTGACACGTCCACTCCCAAATATCTGAATACATTCACCTCCTCCATACTCTCTCCCTCCAATCTGATATCCAATCTTTCATCACCTAATATTTTTGTTATCCTCATAACCTTACTCTTTCCTGTATTCACTTTTAATTTTCTTCTTTTGCACACCCTACCAAATTCATCCACCAATCTCTGCAACTTCTCTTCAGAATCTCCCAAGAGCACAGTGTCATCAGCAAAGAGCAACTGTGACAACTCCCACTTTATGTGTGATTCTTTATCTTTTAACTCCATGCCTCTTGTCAAGACCCTCGCATTTACTTCTCTTACAACCCCATCTATAAATATATTAAACAACCACGGTGACATCACACATCCTTGTCTAAGGCCTACTTTTACTGGGAAATAATTATGTCGCTAAATGAGGAGAGACTGTACTTGTTTTATTCATTAACATTAGACATTTTTGTGTTTACCTGGAGAGAGTTTCGGGGGTCAACGCCCCCGCGGCCCGGTCTGTGACCAGAAATTTTTGATAATTCAAGTACGCCTTTGTAATTTTGTAAGGCTGGACATTGTGTGGATGTGTCTTTTCGAAAGAAACTAAAACATGCTAATTTTGGACCTAAAGCTCTTGCTGCTAAGTTGAATCTCTCTGTTTAAGTATTAGAGCCATGTTATAATTTTCCCACTTAGCCAGTGATTAGAGAAAAGTAAGTACACCCCAAGATGATGTGAATTACTGCTAGGCAGAGACCCTTCCCTTCCAGTAGTAGCAGAAGTAACAGGAGGTACACTTCAAGAGAGGCCAGGGATACAACAGGTGATGTTGATAAATTAGACACATGTGCAACTCTTGGGTATCTTTATTGAGGAAACGTTTTGCCACACAGTGGCTTCATTAGTCCATATGTAGGAGAAACTTGAAGAACAGGAGGAGAATGAGGTAATCAGTCCCTCAACCTTGAGTCGATGTGTTCAGTCCATCAATCTTGAATAGAATACCATTCATCTACAAGCAACAGGTGATACACTTCAAGAGACGCCAGGGATACAACAGGTGGTACGGTACACTTCAAGAGGAGTCAGGGATACGACAGGTGGTACACTTCAAGAGGGGCAAGAGATACAAAAAGTGGTACACTTCAAGAGGAGTCAGGGATACAACAGATGGTACACCTCAAGAGACGCCAGGGATACAACAGGTGGTACGGTACACTTCAAGAGGAGTCAGGGATACGACAGGTGGTACACTTCAAGAGGGGCAAGAGATACAAAAAGTGGTACACTTCATGAGAGGCCAGGGATACAACAGATGGTACACCTCAAGAGAGGCCAGGGATACAAGAATGAAATGTCCTGACAGAATGAAACCAGAGCCAGTGAATGAGGAAGCATTCCACTGTCTCTCTCCGGGATGGGCACCATGGGCAGAAAGAGGTGTTACAGAAAACAGAATAGGTGACTGCAAACCATGAGTGCCTTGTTGATAATGCCACCAGCACTATGCCCATCGCCCAGTCAGAGCAATGCTCTAATTAGGGGCAGGAGGACATTGACTGATTAAAACACAACTCCAAATATAATGAACATTAAACTGCTGTGCATATAAAGGGGCTTTTGGCATTGTACACCCAATTGTCATATTCCTTTGTACAAACATGTATCATGCTGATATAAACTTTTTCTTATTTTTATACAACTTCTTGATGAAAGTGAACTTCCAGAGGGAACAAGGCATCAAGAATGTAGTTATACAAACAAGTACAAGTAATTTATTTCTTTTCTGTAATATACAAGTAATGCAGTTTATGTATAATAAAGTATTGATTGGTACAAAATAAATTCACTAGCATGCAGTGCACTTCAGGCAGACTAATCGTAATGCTTAGTAAATAAATTAACATACAGTGGAACCTCAAATATCGAACTTTCTTCGGTCCAGAAGTCTGTTCGAGTGCCTTTACCGAATTAATTTATTCCCATCAGGAATAATGTAAATTAGATTAGCCCATTTCAGACCCTTAAAAATACACTTATAAAAGCACTTACAAAAATACACTTACATAATTGGTTGTGTTGGGAGCAGTTCGAGTTTTGAGGTTCCACTGTATTTTAATTTGTAAGGCACTATTAACCTTAACTTAAGGCCACTTGAATTAGCTTGGAATTATAATACTGTACTCATCAAAAATGCTGTCTTATGGATGATTGAAACTAGTTGTTAATTGGCCAATAATATTAATGTTAATCAGTTTTGAAAGGGCCACCCTTGTTTCCATATTGAATGTATAGAATTTATTTGAAATTTACAATGCAACCTGCTGTATAGCCCTTGTGGCTTAGTGCTTCTTTTTGATTATAATAATAATATTACAATGCAACCTTTTCTAAGATAGTTCAAGCAAGATAACGTATATTGGAAATTTAATACAGCTTCTCCTCACTTAACGACGTACTCATTTACCAATTACTCGGACTTACAACAGGCTCTGTGACCAGTATGCATACCTAAATAATGTATATTAGAGCTAATTTCCTCTATTCTGTTTATTACAACATGCAGTACACTACTGTATAAACATTTAAAAATATATTAAAATGTTATAAATGGTGCAGTGGTGACATTAAAATGATATCAAAGATAGTTGACACAAACCCACTACCATTATAGCATGCTCCTTGCTTAGCGATGAATTCATTTACTGACATGGTATTAAGAACGGAACTCCGTTGTTAAGTGAAGAGAGGTGGTAATCAATTCTCGAGTTAATGAATATTATATTAACTAATAAGAATTTTCTGAGGGGAGCGATTCTCTTGCCAGCAGCTGTCTCCCAAGTTCACAAGGAATTTAATGTGAATAAACACTTTAAGCCAATTTCTAACCAATTACAGTGGAACCTCAAATATAGAACTGCTCCCAACTCAACCTATTATGTAAGTGTATTTTTGTAAGTGCTTTTATAAGTGTATTTTTGAGGGTCTGAAATGAACTAATCTAATTTACATTATTCCTGATGGGAATAAATTCGTCCGGTAAAGGCACTCGAACAGCCCTCTGGAACGAAGAAAGTTCGATATTTGAGGTTCCACTGTATAAAAGTTGTTTTGCTTTTAATTAGTTATAAAGGTATTATTAGCCCTGTGAAATACTGTATTCTTTTTTTTTTTTTTTTTTGCAGTGTTCAAAATCTATGCTATTGAAGATGATGACTTTGTTGAAAAGGCAAATTTGCGCACTGGGAAACACCTAAACCTAAACTTTTCCTGCAATGATGTAGTTTGGAACCCAATAGAAGGTAAAGTAGATTGATTTAACATATACATATCTTATCATAGCAGTGTATTCTTTAATACAAATACTTTTCAGAATTCATTGATGCTTTCTAATTCAGTACTTGGTGAAATACTGTACAGATGACCCTCGCAGCCATATGATTTACACCTCATAATAAGAAAATTGTACAATGTAGAAAAATATCCTACAAAATGGCTCTTGAAACTGAAAAATGTACCGTATTTTACGGCATCAAAGACTATTTTTTTTTCCCAAAATAAGCCTTGAAAATTTACCCAGCGTCTTGGACACCAAAGTACTCTTTATCTTTTTTTTTTTTCCCCAAAATTTAGCCAAGCAGATCTGGGGGGGGGGGGGGGGGCATCCTCAACACTGGAGCATCTTGTTCACCATAAATTGTGGTAATTTACACTGTTTCCATCCAGATAGGATGGAAACTGTGTAAATTTCTGCAGTAGCTGTTTGGACAGAGGCATAATAATAGTAATAATAATAATAATTAATAACTATTGTACTGTATATTCATTTACCTCTTAGTTTCCTTTTTTTTTTTTTTTTTTTTTCAACAAGTCGGCCATTTCCCACCAAGGCAGGGTGACCCAAAAAGAAAGAAAATCCCCAAAAAGAAAATACTTTATCATAATTCAACACTTTCACCTCACTCATACATAATCACTGTTTTTGCAGGTGCTCAGAACACAACAGTTTAGAAGCATATACGTATAAAGATACACAACATATCCCTCCAAATTGCTAATATCCCAAACCCCTCCTTTAGAGTGCAAGCATTGTACTTCCCATTTCCAGGACTCAAGTCCGGCTATATAAAAATAACCGGTTTCCCTGAATCCCTTCACTAAATATTACCCTGCTCACACTCCAACAGCTCATCAGGTCCCAAATACCATTCGTCTTCATTCACTCCTATCTAACACGCTCATGCACACTTACCCCTCGCTCACAAAACCTCCTTTACCCCCTGCCTCCAACCTTTTCAAGGACGACCCCTACAGTGCCTTCCTTCCCCTACAGATTTATACGTTCTCCATGTCATTCTACTTTGATCCATTCTCTCTAAATGACCAAACCACCTCAACAACTCCTCTTCAGCCCTCTGACTAATACTTTTATTAACTCCACACCTTCTAATTTAAACACACACCGAATTTTCTGCATAATATTTACACCACACATTACCCTTAGACAGGACATCTCCACTGCCTCCAACCATCTTCTCGCTGCAGCATTTACAGCCCAAGCTTCACACCCATATAAGAGTGTTGGTACCACTATACTTTCACACATTCCCTTCTTTGCCTCCATAGATAACGTTTTTTGTCTCCACATAAACCTCAACACACCACTCACCTTTTTTCCCTTCATCAATTCTATGGTTAACCTCATCCTTCATAAATTCATCCGCTGACACGTTAACTCCCAAAGAGTATCTGAAAACATTCACTTCTTCCATACTCCTTCTCTCCAATTTGATATCTAATTTTCTTTATCTAAATCATTTGATACCCTCATCACCTTACTCTTTTCTATGTTCACTTTCAGCTTTCTACCTTGACACACACTCCCAAACTCGTCCACTAACCTTTGCAATTTTTCTTTAGAATCTCCCATGAGCACTGTGTCAATTCCCATTTTAAGAACATAAGAAAGAAGGAACACTGCAACAGGCCTACTGGCCTATGCGAGGCAGCTCCAATTCCCCCACCAGCTTAAACCAATGCCTTGACCTAGTGAGGTCAGACACTTCACTTAAGGAAGAAGCGGTGCACCCGACCTAGTAGCACAAGCTAGTCAAGTCCAACTCACACCCACCCACACCCACTCATGTATTTATCAAACCTATTTTTAAAATTACACAACGTCGTAGCATCTATGACGGTACCCGGGAGTTTGTTGCACTCATCCACAACTCTATTACCAAACCAGTGCTTTCCTATATCCTTCCTGAATCTGAATTTTTCCAATTTAAAGCCATTGCTGCGAGTCCTGTCTATGTTAGATATTTTTAGCACGCTATTTACATCCCCTTTATTAATTCCTGTTTTCCATTTATTCACCTCAGTCATCTCCCCCTTAATTCTATGCCTTTCTAGAGAGTGCAGGTTCAGGGCCCTCAGTCTATCCTAGCATGGAAGATTTCTGATACATGGGATCAACTTTGTCATCCTCCTTTGTATGTTTTCCAGTGCATTTATATCCAATCTGTAATTGATTCCCCATAATTTAATCCCATCCCTCTCCCGAACACCTTAGAATTTACTTATTTTACAACCCCATCTATAAATATATTAACCCATTGACTGTTTTGGTTGTATATATACGTCTTATGAGCCGGTGTTTCAGAAGTATTAATACGCATAAATTCTAGCAGCTTCAAATCAAGCAGGAGAAAGCTGGTAGGTCCACGTGTGAGAGAATGGGTCTGTCCGGTCAGTGTGCACCACATAAAAAAAATTCTGCAGCACGCAGTGCATAATGAGAAAAAATAATGACCGTTTTTTTGGATTAAAACGCCGACTTTGAGGTGTATTTTCATATAGTATTTATCATTGTATTCTCGTTTTCACAATCTCAGGTGATAAAATGGAAAACATATTACAGAACTAGAGATGATTTTGATTAGTTTCACGATGAAAACGACCTTGAAATTGAGCTCAAAATAGCGGAAATGTTCGATTTTTACCAATGTTCAGGAGTAAGCAAATCACACCACACATCCAATACACGTCAACTGGGGAGTCTTATATTCTTTCACTAGTGCACTGATATTATTTATACCATTTTTACAATAATGCAGTAGTCTGCATAACAGTAAATTTTATATTTTTTGTATGAATAAAAAATCAAAATAGAAAGGAATAGTAATATAAGAGGGGCCTAGAGACGTGACTAATGAACAGAGGATATGTTGTTTTAGTGACAAGAATGTCTACCTTGTTTATTCTGGACCTTATTTTGAAATTGGCATTTTTTTTAATTTGCATGAAATTGGCCAAATTGCCAATTTATGACTACTTTATTGGGTAGTTCAAATCGGTAAATGGGCGGTTTCTTGTACTCAACTGATAGAAAAAATAGAGTTCTAAAGAAATAGCTATGAGTTTGGTCAACTGGATCAATGGAATTGGCCCAAAACAGGGCTCAAAGTCGGCGAAATTGCCGATGCGTATATGTCGCCGAGGCCGCTAACTTCACGGGAGCGTAATTCTGGGAGTTTTCGACCAAATTTCATACTTTTCGTGTCATTACCATCGGGAAAAGATTCTCTATCATTTCATAAGAATTTTTTTTTTTTTTTTTTTTTTTCCAAAAATTTTGCGACATAGAATGACAGTTTCAGAAAGGGGCTTGCGACAGTCAAAGGGTTAAACAACCATGGTGACATTACACATCCCTATCTAAGACCTACTTTTACTGGGAAGTATTCTCCCTCTCTTCTACAGGCCATAACCTGAGCCTTACTATCCTCATAAAAACTCTTTACAGCATTTAGTAACTTACTACCTATTCCATATATGTACTTGCAACATCTGCCACATTACTCCCCTATCCACTCTATCATATGCCTATTCTAAATCCATAAATGCAATAAAAACTTCTATACCTTTATATAAATACTGTTCACATATATGCTTCAAAGTAAACACTTGATCTACACATCCCCTACCCACTCTAAAGCCTCCTTGCTCATCCTCAATCCTACAGTCTGTCTTACCTCTGATTCTTTCAGTAATAACCCTACCGTACACTTTTCCTGGTATACTCAGTAAACTTATTCCTCTATAATTTTTACAATCTCTCTTGTCCCCCCTTCCCTTTATATAAATTAACTATACATGCTCTCTACCAATCCCTAGGTACCTTCCCCTCTTTCATACATTTATTAAACAAAAATACCAACCACTCTAACACTATATCCCCCCCTGCTTTTAACATTACTGTCATGATCCTGTCAGTTCCAGCTGCTTTACCCCCTCTCATTCCACATAATGCCTCATGCACCTCCCCCACACTCACATCCTACTCTTCTTCACTACTAAAAGATGGTATACCTCTCTGGCCATTGCATGAAATTACCTCCTCCCTTTCTTCGTCAACATTTAAAAGTTCCTCAAAATATTCCCACCATCTACCCAATACCTCTATCTCCCCATCTACTAACTCCCCTACTCTGTTTTTAATTGACAAATCCATTCATTTTCTAGGCTTTCTTAACTTGTTTAACTCTCTCCAAATTTTTTTTTTATTTTCATCAAAATTTCTTGACAGGGCCTCTCCTACTCCATCATCTGCTCTCCTTTTGCACTCTCTCACCACTCTCTTCACCTTTCTTTTACTCTCCATATACTCTGCTCTTCTTATAACACTTCTGCTTTGTAAAAACCTCTCACCCTCCTCACACCCTCCTGCCCCCACCCTTCTATAACCACAAACTTCTGCCCCACATTCTAATACTACTGCATTTTTAAAACTATTCCAACCTTCTTCAATTCCCCCGCTATTCATACTTGCACTAGCTCACCTTTCTGCCGATAGTTGCTTATATATCACCCGAACTTCCTCCTCCCCCTTAGTTTATACACTTTCACCTCTCTCTTACTTGTTGTTGCCATTTTCCTCTTGTCCCGTCTACCTCTTACTCTAACTGTAGCTACAACTATGCAAGCTTTTCTCTGTATATACAGTATAACCATATTGAACAAGTAGGTAAAACTGACCATTATTATAGTGTTTTATAATTTTCAGAGAGTGTTCTTGCCACTGCTTCCACTAATGGTGCTGTTGTCACCTGGAACCTAAATAAAGCCTCCAGGTCAAAGATGGACTGTGTCTTCAATGATCATAGTCGAACTGTACACAAGGTAAACTTTGCTTTTCAATTTAGAAATTGATATTTTTTTTCACTTCTAAGAAATTGTGATATGTTAAGTATATACTGCAAAGATTTGATTAATTTTATCTTTGCATCATTACCTTTTTTTTTTTTCTTTTTTTTTTAACCTACCAGCCGTCTCCCACTGAGGCAGGGTGACCCGGAAGAGAAGAAACGCTTTCACCATCACTCACACTATCACTGTCTTGCCAGAGGAGTGCTGATACTACAGTTCAGATACCCCAAACTGCAGATATTCCCACCTCTCCTTCAGAGTGCAGGCACTATACTTCCCACCACCACCCCTCCTTAAAAGTACTGGCACTGTACTTCCCACCTCTACCCCACCTTCAGAGTACTGGCACTGTACTTCCCACCACCATCCCTCCTTCAGAGTACTGGCACTGTGCTTCCCACCTTCAGAGTGCAGGCACTGTACTTCCCACCCTGGCAGTGAATGAATGCACTTGGAATATAAGAGTACACCTCTTTGAGAAGGCCAGGCTTGAGGTCCAGTAGTCTCTTAAGAAGAATGCAATTATAGTTCCTTTCCTGGTCCTGGCGTTGTGATGGAATAGTAATGCAGGAAATTTTCTTTGTTAATTGGCTTGTGGCAAACCTTGAAAACTAGGGCATCATCTGTCTTGCTCAACGGGACATCAAGGAAAGAGTGTTGTTCGTCTTTTCTTCCACTTCTGTGGTAAACTTGCTGGCCAGCTCTGTACAGCTGATCTTGGAGAGTAGATTCTGAATGTTAAATTTCCATGGATAACCTTCCAAAATATCATTCACATTCCTTAACAATGTTGCGTTACTCAGGATCATGTACTTGAATTGCTCAGCATGCAACTACATGTATTTGCCAATATGGCAGTGATGGGTGAGCCCAAGGCCACCCAAATACATTGTCTGTTGTTGGTAATGTTTTACAGGTAGGTTTGTAGACACCTGTGGAAAACTTAAATCTTAAACTAAGTGCATTGGTTTCTGTGTCAGACAGTGGGTGATCATAAAGGTTATTAATAATTTCTTGTCTGTCTATTGTGTTCAAGTTGCTGTGTGTATACAGAGTAGTTTCTAAGACAGTCTAATATTTTGGTATTTATGCTGTACATGCATTCACACATCTGAAATGCATGTACAGCATGTGGCAGCTGTATTCTTCTTTTGGCGAGAAACTTTTCTAATTTTTTGCCTCATTGGCTGTCTCCCTCCAAGGTAGTGACCCAAAAATAGAAGCATATTCACCTTCATTCATACAATTGCCATCTTGCCAGAAGTGTGCTGAGATTGCAGTTCAGATGATCCTCCAGTTGCAACATCCCTACCCACTACCTCAGAGTACAAGCACTACCTTTCTCACCTATTAGTTTTTTACTGTACTTGACAGTTTTCAGAGCAGCAGCAAAATCTACTCGATTAAAGTTTTTAGTGAGAATGCATTTGCTAACAACTTAGCTGCTGATTAATGCCCTGTAGAGTTTGCCCAGATTATTCAAAATAATTATAACCCTGATTAATTGTTCAGTACCAATGAGACAATTATGTTGGAAATGGATGCCATCAGGGACTTGATTACCTAGGGCTACCTCTGGGTTCAAAGTCATCAAAGCTCACATTGCTTCTCTTTGCCAACATTTGAGAAGATATTAAGCATGAATCCATGATGGTATACTACAGGTTGGCCATCACTAATCTGGCAATCAGTTATCCGGTTGCATCAGTAATCCGGCACTAATTTCAGCTAGTATAATTTCAAATTTAATCATTATACTGACTCAAATCATTATACTGTCTCAAATTTCATCATTATACTGACTCAAATCATTATACTGTCTCAAATTTCACCATTATACTGACTCAGAAATTGTGCAGATGGTTGTAAATCCACAGCAGCAAGTCAGTGGAGGAGAAAGCAGTGATGAAAATGAGGAAGATATAGCAGAAAGAGTCTCTTTTGATAGGCTAAGTGGATTCTAACCTAACCACTCTGTAATCCAGCAAACTCGCTAATCTGGCACACTACAGGTCCCAATGATGCCAGATTAGTGATGGCCGACCTGTACTCCAACAATCGCCTTACCTTGAAAGGATAAGTCTCTTACTCATTTCTTGGTGGTCCAGCAAGAAAACATATTTATATTTTGACACAAATGGTCTGGCTGTATCATTGTGAAGGAGGCCAATGAAAAATCCTTGGATAGTCCTGCCTAAGGCACAAAAAGTACTGTTAATAGTAGAGCTCCATGAAGACTTTCTTCTTTCTTTCAACAAACCGGCCATATCCCACTGAGGCAGGGTGGCCCAAAAAGAAAAACAAAAGTTTCTCTTTCCAAATTTAGTAATTTATGCAGGAGAAGGGGTTACTAGCCCCTTGCTCCCGGCATTTTAGTCGCCTATTACAACACGCATGGCTTACGGAGGAAGAATTCTGTTCCACTTCCCCATGGAGATAAGAGTAAATAAGCAAGAACAAGAACTAGAAAGAAAATAGCAGAAAACCCAGAGGGGTGTGTATATATATGCTTGTACATGTATGTGTAGTGTGGCCTAAATGTAAGTAGAAGTAGCAAGTCATACCTGAAATCTTGCATGTTCATGAGACAGAAAAAATGACACCAGCAATCCTACCATCATGTAAAACAATTACAGGCTTTCATTTTACACTCACTTGGCAGGACAGTAGTACCTCCCTGGGCAGTTGCTGTCTACCAACCTACTACCTAGACTCCATGAAGACTATAGTTGTGAAATACATTGGTTAAAAAAATTCAAGCCTCCTAATTGCTCTGAACAATTATGGAAAAAATTTTCAGACCTTCATTCAGTTGACCAGTCTGTAAACAAGGACTTTGAATGGCTTAGTGAGCATATAAATTTTATGCAGCATTGTTGAGCATTTTAAATTATAAATTTTGTACAACATTGTACTCTAAAATAATTTACATGATAAACTTTAGGTGCCTTTGCTGAGAAAGCTGATCCTTGATGAGGTGTGATTTGATGCTGGTGAAGGGCTTGTGATCCAAGGAATTAAAGCAGCCCTCCCATTCCTTGGACTAAACCTGATTACCTTCTATTGGTCAGGTGTTGTATGTTACCCCTACAGGTTATGAACTTCAGTGATTAATAAAAGTGAAGAAGGTGGCAAAATTTTAGTGGCTTGTCTCTTTCCACAGGTCAGTTTTCATCCCTGTGAACCACACTTACTAATATCAGGGTCACACGATGGCTTCATGAAACTCTTTGACCTACGGAGAAGAGAAGCTACTCAGACTTATACCAGGTAAGTCACTCTTATGTTGTGCTTTTGGCTTGATGTTCCTCACTTTCATCATCTTTACTACTGTGTTAGATACAAGGTCATTACCAATAAACCCCTGGCTGTCTTCAAGAGGGAGCTCGACAGGCACCTAAACTCAGTACCTGATCAGCCGGGCTGTGGTTCATATGTCTGTTTGCGTATGGCTGGCAGTAACAGCTTGGTTTATCAGGCCCTGGTCCACCATGAGGTCTGGTCATGAACCAGGGTGTGGGGACATTGACCCCTGGAACACCCTCAGGTGTTTGAAGGGCCTAGGTATATCCTGGGGTGCATGACCTCTACATATATTACTGTCCTCTACAGATGATAATTTTGTTTACAGTGAATTAATTACCTTCGTTTTTTTATTTTATTGGATTAGCATCATGCAATGGTATTTATTTCCTCCTAATGTAAAATTGCATGTCTTCTCACTATAGTGGCACATTTTGAAATAAAGAAATCTGCTTGGTAGATTGTCAAGAACTCATGTTTTCTTTTACTGGAGGTAATTGAGTCGCATCTAATCCCAGATTGTCACCCACAAAATGTCACTTTACACTTAACTTAAATCTTCAAGAATTAAATCATAGATCTGCTTGGTAAACAGTTCCCCATGCAGCCATAGATCTATATGATAAACAATTGTTGAGAGCACAATTTATACATGTATATGTGTTTGTGTAGGTAGTAGGTTGGTAGACAGCAACCACCCAGGGAGGTACTACCGTCCTGCCAAGTGAGTGTAAAACAAAAGCCTGTAATTGTTTTACATGATTGTAGTATTGCTGGTGTCCATTTTTCTGTCTCATAAACATGCAAGGTTTCAGGTATGTCTTGCTACTTCTACTTACACTTAGGTCACACTACACATACATGTACAAGCATATATATATACATACACACCCCTCTGGATTTTCTTCTATTTTCTTACTAGTTCTTGTTCTTGTTTATTTACTCTTATCTCCATGGGGAAGTGGAACAGAATTCTTCCTCTGTAAGCCATGCGTGTTGTAAGAGGTCGACTAAAATGCCAGGAGCAAGGGGCTAGTAACCCCTTCTCCTGTATAAATTACTAAATTTAAAAAGAGAAACTTTCGTTTTTCTTTTTGGGGCACCCTGCCTTGGTGGGATACGGCCGGTTTGTTGAAAAAAAAAAATATGTATTTGTAAGTATTTTTATGAGGAAGGAAAAAAAATTGATGCTAAGATTTCAGAAAGAGTTGTTATATTTAGGCAGACTGGAAAAATTTAATAATTATATAGAGAATAATAAAGTTAGTGAAATGTGTTGGTGTTAGGTGCTATATGATCCACTTATAACTGTTAGTGAAACTTTAAGAGTGTGTAGTATAATGAGGAATAAAAGTGGTAAATCATGGCCAGAATAATTCACAAATAACTACACTGGAGAGAGAGCTTCCCATGAACTTTAGGTCTGTCCTTGACCATTATCAGTTGTGACTAGTAATAGTCAAAAAATAGACCAAAAACATGAAAGTGTAGGTTATATGTGAAAAATTTATTATTAAATAGGTAGTTGATGTGAATTATAGAGAGGTGTCTGTAAATGCTAATAGTGGAGAGTTGGAAGTGAGGAAACTAGATTAGTGTAACTGGAGTATACCTGGAGGGTGTTACAGGGGTCAATGCCCCTGTGACCTGGTCACGATGGATCAGGGCCTGATCAACCAGGCCAAGAACAATTGAGGCATCATTGTTAGCTGGGCAAACTGATAAAAAAATGCTTGAGAGCTACAGTATTATTTGTATATGGAAAACAAACTTTGAGAAATGATAAAAAATAATTTGTTAATTTTCATTATTTTTTCCTGTAAGAATTATGTTATGAGACACTATTATTTAACAGAGTTAAGATGTGCAATTCACTCATGCCTTTAATATAATAATAATAATAATAATAATAATAATAATAATAATAATAATAATAATAATAATAATAAAAATAATAAAAATAATCATTATTTCTACAAGTACATGTACAAGCTATACAGGCTTAGCTGACATCAGTGACATACTACTATATAGAAAGCTCCTTGTTATGCAGAACATTTCTGGAAAATTAGGTCAATTTTATCCCAGGATGCAACCCACTGTCAACTAACACCCAGGTATCCATTTTGCTGATGAGTGAACAGGGAGCAGCAGGTGTCGGCCCTCAGTGTGTGAGCTGAGAGTGCCAGCAATAGAAATATGTATCAGTTTTCATTAGGCTTTCTGCTTCAGGGTGTTATTACCTACCCTATTTTGCTTATACATGTATTAGGGTTTGAGATTGTCAGTATCTGCATGCCTCTTGCAAGACTGATAGTGTGAATGATGATGAAGTGTTTCTTTTTGGTTCACCGTGCTTCAGTGGAAGATGGCCAGCATGTTAAAAAAAAAATATAGTCTTATACTGTATCAGTTTTTCTTCCTAGTTGCTGTAATCTTAAAAATACTTCTTTATTTGCAGTAATGCAGAAAGTGTCAGAGATGTTCAGTTCAACCCCCATCACAGTGTGAATTTCTGTGCAGTATCTGAGAATGGAAATGTTCAGTTGTGGGACATGAGAAGATCCGACCGTGTGGAGAAGCAGTTCACTGCTCATGGAGGTCCTATTTTTGCCCTTGACTGGCATCCTGAAGTTAAAACTTGGATTGCCACTGCTGGGAGGGATAAAACTATTAAGGTAATGCATTGTTTAGTGACAAAAGGAGAGTGCAATAAATGCTGGCCAGTGGCACAAACAAATCTATACAGAGAAAATATAACAGACTATGGATAGATTTTTGAATATTTTGATTTTGCTAAAATGGACTTAAGTTTGTAGGCAAAATATAGAATTCTCTTTCTATTTTCTGCTTTTTATTCTTCACAAGGTTTGATTGTGCCATTGTTTAATAACTAAATAGTCAGCTAAAAAAAATAACTGAATATATTTGACTTTAGAATTTTGAGGACATAAGAGGTTTCTTCTTCTTATTCTTTTTAGTAATCTTTACAGGAAAAGGGGTTACTAGCCCATTGTTCCCGGCATTTTAGTTGACTTTTGCAACACGCATGGCTTACGGAGGAAAGATTCTTATTCCACTTCCCCATGGATATAAAAGGAAAAGTAATAAGACCAAGAACTATTAAGATAAAATCAAAGAAAACTCAGATGAGTGTGTATAAATAAACCTGTACATGTATGTGTAGTGTGACCTAAGTGTAAGTAGAAGTAGCAAGACATACCTGTAATCTTGCATATTTATGAGACAGACAAAAAAAAAAAAAACACCAGCAATCCTACCATCATGTAAAACAATTACAGGCTTTTGTTTTACATTCACTTGGCAGGACGGTAGTACCTCCCTGGGTGGTTGCTGTCTACCAACCTACTACTATAATATTTAATAATATTTAGTGAAGGGATTCAGGGAAACCGGTTATTTTTATATAGCCGGACTTGAGTCCTGGAAATGGGAAGTACAATGCCTGCACTCTAAAGGAGGGGTTTTGGGATATTAGCAGTTTGGAGGGATATGTTGTGTATCTTTATATGTATATGCTTCTAAACTGTTGTGTTCTGAGCACCTCTGCAAAAACAGTGATTATGTGTGAGTGAGGTGAAAGTGTTGAATGATGATGAAAGTATTTTCTTTTTGGGTCACCCTGCCTCAGTGGGAGACGGCCGACTTGTTGAAAAAAAAAAATAGGTTTTTGTATGGGAGGGGCTTGGACATCCAACAGGCATGTGTGAGCATGTTACATACGAGTGAGTGAACGCAAGTGTTTTTTTTTATAACTTGGCATGCTGTTGGAGTATGAACAAGGTAGTATTTATGAAGGGATTCCGTGAAACTGGTAAACTGGACTTGAGTCCTGGAGGTGATAGGTACAGTGCCGCACTTTGAAGGAAGGGTGGGGATATTTGCAGTTTGGAGGGGCATCTGAGCTGTAGTGTCGTCATTCCTCTGGCAAGACAGTGATGGAGTGAATGATAGTGAAAGTGTTTCTTCATTTTTTGGGTCATCCTGCCTTAGTGGGAGACAGCCAGTGTGTTAAAATATATATATATAAATACAGTGGACCCCCGCATAACGATGGCATCACATAGCGATTATTTCGCATACCGCTTACTTTAATCGCAAAAATTTTGCCTCACATACCGCTTAAAAACCCGCTTACCGATTTTCGTCACCCATCTAATGTGCTGCCTGAGCCACGCTCACATGTTCCGCGGTGCATTTTATCACCAGCCTCCGCGGTAACATCCAAGCATACAATCGGATATTTCGTATTATTACAGTGTTTTCGGTGCTTTTTCTGGAAAATAAGTGACCATGGGCCCCAAGAAGCTTCTAGTGCCAACCCTTACAGCAATAAGGTGAAATTACATTAAGATGAAGAAAAAGATCATTGATAAGTAGAAAGTGGAGTGCATGTCAATCGAAGCTGGCCAGGTTGTATAATAAACCCAATTAAACAATGTACTGTTGGTGGTACAGCTGCTGCTGCTGCTGCACTGTCAGCGTGCTGCTGCTGTAGCACCGTTGTTGGTGTGGCTTATTGAGAATACCAAGAAACAATTAACCCAGAGGATTTGCCCCCCAGGATAACCCAAAAAAGTCAGTGTCATCAAAGATGTCTCCCTTTTTTCCATTGGGGTCCTTAATTTGTTCCCAGGATGCAACCCACACAAGTCACAACCCCCAGGTGAACAGGGAAAATCCCTGGAACTAGTGCTCATTTTGGTGAAATTTAAGCGCAAAGGTTTTTTGGGAAAGATTTTAAGAATCTAGGGGCATCACGTGTGAAAAAGGCCTGTTCGGGAAAAAAAAATGCCAAACAGGCCCCTACAGTATCAGGAGGAAAAGGCACCCCCCGGGGACCAGTGTTCATCAGTCATTGCTGCATTTAAATTAAAGGAAAGTGTCATTTATTTTTCATTTAGTAGACTGTACATGCACAATATATACTGTGCATGTACTACTTACTTTGTGCATGTACCCTTTTTTTGTGTGGGGAAAATGTATATTTATGTAGTAAAATTTTTTTTTTTTATACTTTTGGGTGTCTTTTGCACGGAAATTTTTTTTTTCCCCTTTTTTTTATGGGGAAAATTCATTCCTAACGATTATTTCCTAACAATTACCCCTTTGCAAGGGGTTAAAATCGTTAACCCGGGGGGGCCACTGTATTTGACCCTCGTTTATTCTGTTTATGCTTTTCTTAGGAGACAAGTACTTTAACACCCCAAACAGGGAGGGCCAATTTAACACTTTTTTTTTTCATCAAGTCTTATATGTCTTGTGAAAGTACCAGTCACACATGCAGAACAGATCTTATCACATCATTCACAACCCGGTGTATCCCCCCGAGACAGGGGACCCCAAAAAAAAAAACAAAAGTTTCGCTTTTTAACTTTAGTAATGTATACAGGGAGGGGTTTTCTAAGCCCCTTCCTCCCCGGGATTTTAGTCTCTCTTTGCCCGATGACTTCGTAAAGAATTTTGTTTTCCCCTTCCCCCTGGAGTAAAAGGAAATAAGCAAAAATAAGAAGTACTAAGAAAATAGAAGAAAACATAGAGGGGTGTGTATATATATGCTTGTACATGCATGTGTAGTGTGACCTAAGTGTAAGTAGAAGTAACAATATGCACCTGAAATCTTACAAGTTTACGAGACAGGAAAAAGACACCAGCAATCCTACCATCATGTAAAACAATTACAGGCTTTCATTTTACACTCACTTGGCAGGACAGTAGTACCTCCTGGAGTATACTTGGAGAGGGTTTCGGGGGTCAACACCCCTGCTGCCCGGTCTGTGGCCAGGCCTCATGATGGATCAGGGCCTGATCAACCAGGCTGTTACTGTTGGCCGCACACAACCCGACGTACAAACTACAGCCCGGCTGGTCAGGTATTGACTTTAGGTGCCTGTCCAGTGCCTTCTTGAAGACAGCCAAAGGTCTATTGGTAATACCCCTTATGTATGCTGGGAGGCAGTTGAACAGTCTTGGGCTTCTGATACTTACTGTGTTGTCTCTTATCTTGCTAGTGGCACCCCTGCTTTTCTTTGGGGGAATGTTACATCGTCTGCCAGTCTTGCTTTCATAGGGAGTGATTTTCGTGCGCAAGTTTGGTACTTATCCCTGTAGGATTTTCCAAGTGTATATAATCATGTATCTCTCCTGCCTGCATTCTAGGGAGTACAGGTTGAGGAACTTCAAGCATTCCCAGTAATTGAGGTGTTTTATCGCAGTTATGTGTGCCGTAAAGGTCCTTTGTACATTTTCTAGGTCAGTAATTTCACCTGCCTTGAAAGATGCTGTTAGTGTGCAGCAATATTCCAGCCAAGATAAAACAAGCTACCTGAAGAGTGTCTTCATGGGCTTGGCATCCCTAGTTTTGAAGGTTCTCATTATCCATCCTGTCATTTTTCTAGCAGATGCAATTGATACAATGTTAGGGTCTTTGAAGGTAAGATCCTTTGACATGATCACTCCCAGGTCTTTTACATTAGTTTTTTGCTCTATTGTGTGGTTGGAATTTGTCTTATTCATTGATATAGTTTTAATTTCCTCACGTTTTCCATATCAGAGTAATTGAAATTTTTCATCACTGAACTTCATATTGTTTTCTGTGGCCCATTTAAAGATTTGGTTGATGTCCACCTGGAGTCTTGCGGTGTCTTCAATGGAGGACACTGTCATGAAAATTCTGGTGTCATTTGCAAAGGAAGGCACAGTGCTGTGGCTTACATCCCTGTCTATGTCAGATGTAAGGATGAGGAACAGGATGGGAGCAGTACTGTGCCTTGTGGAACAGATCTATTCATAGTAGCCGCCTCAGACTTTACTTTGTTTACTACTACTCTTTGTGTTCTATTTGTTAGGAAATTATAGATCCATCTACCAACTTTTCCTGTTATTCCTCTTATCATGCATTTTGTGTGCTATTACACTGTGGTCACACTTGTCAGAGGCTTTTGCAAAGGCTTTGTATACTACATCTGCATTTTGTTTGTCTTCTAGAGTATCCAGAACCTTGTCATAGTGGTCCAGTAGTTGGGATAGACAGGAGCTATCTGCTCTAAACCCAGGTTGCCCTTAGTTGAGTAAATGATGGGTATCTAGATGGGTGGCGATCTTGCTTCTTAGAACCTTTTCAAAGTTTTTTATGATACGGGACATTAGTGCTGTCGGTCTGTAGTTTTTTGCTATTGCTTTACTGCCCCCTTTGTGGAATGGGGCTATGTCTGTTGTTTTTAGCAGCCGTGGAACAACCCCAGTGTCCATGCTCCCTCTCCATAGGATGTTAAAAGCATATGATAAGGGCTTCTTGCAGTTCTTTATAAACATGGAGTTCCATGAGTCTGGGTCTGGGGCAGAGTGCATGGGCATGTCATTTATCACCTTTTCAGTCATTTGGTATCAGGATAACATCAGATAGGTTTGAGCCTACCAAATTCTGTGTCTCTCATAAAAAATTCATTTAGTTCATCGACTCTGTCTGGTTAGCAGCTCGCTAAAAACTGAGTCATATTGGGACATGAGTAGCTCACTCATTTCTTTGCTATCATCTGCATAGGACCCATCTTGTTTAAGTAGGGACCCAACACTGGATGTTGTTCTCGACTTTGATTTAGGATAAGAAAAGAATTATTTGGGGTTTCTTTCAGTTTCATTTGTGTGTTTTAGTTCTTCCTGTGTTTCTTGGCTCCTGCAAGATTCTTTTAACTTTAGTTTGATGTTTGCTATTTCTGTAACCAGTGTCTCCCTATATATTACAGATATATTGGCCTCTTTTAGGCGCTTTATTATTCTTTGCCTTCACCTGTATGGGGAGCGTCTTTCTCTTTATAGTTTACATCTCCTTTTCCTTAACCCTTAAACGGTCCAAACGTATATATACGTTCACGCACGTAGTGCCCCAAACGTATATATACGTTTTCTTTGTCATTCATTCAACATTGCCACAATAAGCCTGAGTCACCTAGACATGAGAGAATGGGTGTGTGCACTCACTGTGTTCCATATTAAAATAATTGGGGATGCCTGGGTACCCTATGCTCTTTTTTCCTTTTAAAAGAAAATATTTCTTTTTTCCTCAAAAAATTTGGGGCGGTACGCGAGTGAACGTATATATACGTTTGGACCGTTTAAGGGTTAAAGGAATATGCCTTGAGCATACCTCGAGTGCCACAGAGTTAATTTGTTGTAGACATAGGTTTGGATCTGTGTTGCTTAGGCTGTCTTCCCAGTTTATATCACTTTGGACCTGGTTTACTTGGTCCCATCTTATGTTTTTGTTATTGAAGTTGAATTTGGCAAAGGCTCCCTTGTGACTGATTATATTTTGTCAGTCTGGGGGCCCCGTGCATACATGTCTGTACCTCTGTTATGTTGTGATCTGAGTATATTGTTTTTGATGTGGTAATATTTCGTATCAGATCATCATTGTTAGTGAAGATGAGGTCCAATGTATTCTAGAATCTTGTAGGCTCTATTATTTGCTGGTTTAAGGTGAATTTGGTACCAAGATTTAAAAGCTCGTGTGTGTGCGAGTTTTCACCTGAGCTGCCTCCTGGTGTTGTCTCTGCTACAACATTATTTGCTTCATTCATCCGTTTTAGGTGCCTTAGGTTGAAATCCCCCCAGGAGCAAGATGTTGGGGGCAGGAGCTGGAAGATTTTCCAGACAGTGATCAGTTTTTAAATGCTGTTCCTGGAATTGTTGGGAAGTTGCATCTGGAGGCTTGTATACAACCACAAGGACCAGGTTTTGGTTTTTCATCTTTACTGCCAAAACTTCAACTACATCATTTGTGGCATTTAGTAGTTCTGAGCATATAAGTGACTCTGTGATATACAGGCCAATACCCCCCTTTTGCTGGTTCACTCTGTCACATCTGTATAAGTTGTAACCCAGGATCCATATTTCTTTGTCAAAATGATCCTTTATGTGGGTCTCTGAAAACCGCAAACATTGTGTTTGACTCCGTAAGCATTCTGCAGATGAAAGGTGGTTGCTGTCTACCACACTACTACCTAGGAGAATGCATATCACATGTATGAAATCACTTAAAAATAAGACATTACATTAAAGTGAATTAGCATAAGCTAGGCAACCTCATATATTATTGTACAGTACGTAGCCTGTTTTAAGATCTTTTTATTTATTTGTCATGCAAGTACAATAATTGAATTTACAGGTGTGGGATTTAAATGACAATCCAACTGTGTGCAACACCATACAGACAATTGCTTCAGTTGGCAGAGTCAAGTGGAGACCCAACACCAAGTTTCACATTGCAAGGTCAGTAGTACAGTGGACCCCCGGTTAACGATATTTTTTCATTCCAGAAGTATGTTCAGGTGCCAGTACTGACCGAATTTGCTCCCATAAGGAATATTGTGAAGTAGATTAGTCCATTTCAGACCCCCAAACATACACGTACAAATGCACTTACATAAATACACTTACATAATTGGTCGCATTGGGAGGTGATCGTTAAGCGGGGGTCCACTGTATTTTATTGAAGACTTACTTTATCCTGAATGATCATGATCAAGGGTGTTTCAGTTATTGAAAATTTTTGGTTAATAAGAATTGCTAAAATCTGTTTTACCAGACTAAATAATGATTTTTTATGATAATATTACTACACATATCATACACAGGATTGATAAGATGTGAAATACATGAGTTCATGTGCATATTGACTCTTAATAATGTCACAGACTTGAATGTACAGCTTGTTCTGTATTCTTTTCTAGCTCTGCATTGTTGTGTGACTGTAGCATCAATGTGTGGGATATACGACGGCCATATATACCACTTGCTGCTTTTAATGAGCATAAGAATCTTACAACAGGTATCTGTTGGCGGGCTGATCCAAACAGCTTATTGTCTGTTGGTAAGGTAGGTGAAATTGTAAATACTATTTAAAAATAGCATAGTTTTTCACTGTGTTTCTTTGTTATTTTGATTATTATGTAACTGGGTAAGTCATACAAGTAACTCTAGAATTATTCATTACAAAAATACCTGCACATAGGAGAATGAAACTTATGATGTCATTTCAGTCTCCTATGCAGGTACAGTGGACCCCCGGTTAACGAACTTTTTTCATTCCAGTAGTATGTTCAGGTGCCAGTAATGACCGAATTTTTTCCCATAAGGAATATTGTGAAGTAGATTAGTCCATTTCAGACCCCCAAACATACACGTACAAACACACTTACATAAATACACTTACATAATTGGTCGCATTTGGAGGTGATCGTTAAGCGGGGGTCCACTGTATTTGTGTATTGTTCCATTCATAGTATTGTGCCTTTTTATTCCTTAACTCTAGAATTACCGGTCACTAAAAATTTTTCTTAATAATATTGCAAAGTGAAATGGCACATTTTTATAAGACTTAGGGCATGAATATCAATTTAGTGGATAATTAAGTAGCTCATAGAACAGATGGGCTTCAAACCCATGGTGAGCCAGTTCTAAAACTAGCATGCTAGTGCCCTAACCACTGTACCATACCAACCTAATAATGTTCATCCTACTAGGTATATTTCTATGCCCTCGAAAGGTTCGAACCCCATCCTACGAGTTATTGACTTATCATATTAATATGATTTTGTGAGTTGTGATGGAAGTAGATGGTTTTAAAGACAGTTCAAGGAGCTGTATAATTCCTACTGGAAGAACACTGAAATTGATGCCAACCTAAGTCTCAAAGCTCTCTTGCCTGACCAGTGGCACTGAAAGAAGAGAAGAAACATACAGTGGACCCTCGACCAACGATGGCATCGATTAACGATAAATCCGACTAGCGATACATTTTATCGCAAAAATTTTGCCTCAACTAGCGCTAAAAAACCCGACCAACTCTATTCGTTCCGTTCGAGATGTGTCTACTTTGGCCTGAGCATGCCTCACTTGTCCCATGGGTGCCAGTGTTTACAAGCCAGCCAGCCGCCGCGGTTGCTTCCAAACATACAATTGGAACATTGCATATTATCACAGCCTTTGTAGTGATTGCACCTGCAAAATAAGTCACCATGGGCCCCAAGAAAGCTTCTAGTGCCAACCCTACAGCAAAAAGGGTGAGAATTACTATAGAGATGAAGAAAGAGATCATTGCTAAGTATGAGAGTGGAGTGCGTGTCTCCGAGCTGGTCAGGTTGTATAGTAAACCCCAATCAACCATCGCTACTATTGTGGGCAAGAAAACGGTAATCAAGGAAGCTGTTCTTGCCAAAGGTGCAACTATGTTTTCGAAACTGAGATCGTAAGTGATAGAAGATGTTGAGAGAGACTTATTGGTGTGGATAAACGAAAAACAGATAGCAGGAGATAGCATCTCTCAAGCGATTATATGTGAAAAGGCTAGGAAGTTGCATGACGATTTAATTAAAAAAATGCCAGCAACTAGTGGTGATGTGAGTGAATTTAAGGCCAGCAAAGGTTGGTTTGAGAGATTTAACAAACGTAGTGGCATTCATAATGTGATAAGGCATGGTGAGGCTGCCAGTTCAGACCACAAAGCAGCTGAAAAATATGTGCATGAATTCAAGGAGTACATAGACAGTGAAGGACTCAAACCTGAACAAGTGTTTAATTGTGATGAAACAGGCCTGTTTTGGAAGAAAATGCCAAGCAGGACCTACATTACTCAGGAGGAAAAGGCACTCCCAGGACATAAGCCTATGAAAGACAGGCTTACTCTGTTGATGTGTGCCAATGCTAGTGGTGATTGCAAAGTGAAGCCTTTATTGGTGTATCACTCTGAAACTCCCAGAGTGTTCAGGAAAAACAATGTCCTCAAGGCTAATTTGTGTGTGCTGTGGAGGGCAAACAGTAAGGCATGGGTCACTAGAGACTTTTTCTATGACTGGTTACACCATGCATTTGCCCCCACTGTGAAAAATTACCTCCTGGAAAATAAATCGGACCTTAAGTGCCTCCTGGTATTAGACAATGCTCCTGGTCATCCTTCAGACTTGGCAGAGCGACTTTCTAGGGACATGAGCTTCATTAAGGTGAAGTTTTTGCCTCCTAATACCACTCCTCTCTTGCAGCCCATGGACCAGCAGGTCATTGGCAACTTCAAGAAACTGTACACAAAAGCTATGTTTGAAAGGTGCTTTGTAGTGACCTCAGAAACTCAACTGACTCTTAAGAGAGTTTTGGAAAGATCACTTTACCATCCTTAATTGTGTAAACATTATAGGTAAGGCTTGGGAGGAAGTGACTAAGAGGACCTTGAACTCTGCTTGGAAAAAACTGTGGCCAGAATGTGTAGACAAAAGGGATTTTGAAGGGTTTGAGGCTAACCCTGAGAATCCTATGCCAGTTGAGGAATCCATTGTGGCACTGGGGAAGTCCTTGGGGTTGGAGGTTAGTGGGGAGGATGTGGAAGAGTTGGTGGAGGAGGACAATGAAGAACTAACCACTGATGAGCTGCTAGATCATCTTCATCAGCATGAGGCCACACCTGAGGAAACTGCTTCGGAGGAGGGGATAGAGAAACTGAAGAAGTTGCCTACTTCTAAGATTAAGGAAATCTGTGCAATGTGGCTTAAAGTGCAAACCTTTATGGATGAAAATCACCCTGACACAGCTACTGCAAGCCGTGTTGGCAACCTGTTCACTGACAATGTTGTGAAACACTTTAGAAATGTCATAAAGGAATGGGAGGTACAGGCCTCTATGGACAGATATGTTGTACGACAGAAGTCCAGTGACTCTCAAGCTGGTCCTAGTGGCATTAAAAGAACAAGGGAAGTAACCCCGGAAAAAGAGTTGCTACCTCAAGTCCTAATGGAAGGGGATTCCCCTTCTAAACCCTAAGAAGATCCACACTCTCCCCTCCTCCCATCCCATCAATCATCACCAGATCTTCAATAAAGGTAAGTGTCATGTAACTGTGCATGTCTTCTTCAGTTTGTATGTATTAAAATTAATATTTCATGTGGTAAATTTTTTTTTTTCAATACTTTGGGGTGTCAGGAACGGATTAATTTGATTTCCATTATTTCTTATGGGGAAAATTAACTCGATTAACGATTATTTTGATTAACAATGAGCTCTCAGGAACGGATTAATATCGCTGGTCGAGGGTCCACTGTACTTGAGGATGTCACGAATAACTTCCAGGTCGAAACTCTCATTGTCTAGCATTTGGGAAAGAAAGAGTTATAACCAAAGGAGAGAGAGAGCATGTAAAAGTATAAACTGTGAAGCAGCAAATTGTCTCTGGTCTCATCAGTGTAGCCAACCGAATTCATGCCTGTGATCTGGCAGTCCTTGGTTTACCAGCCTGTCATAAAGTAATTTGCATTTAGCAATTATGTGGTCTACCTTTTCTCTGTTTTATTGTATGTTTAATTTTAAGTCTGACCAAAATGTGCTGTATGACTAGGGGCTTTTCCACTTAAGATGATAAAATGATGATTATATAATTATTGAACCATGGATAATAATCTTTACTTGGTTATTCAGTGGACCACAGAGCTGGTAACTCCAGGACTGCCATACTGCAGATTCAAACCCTACTCATTACACTGAGTTTTTAAATTCGTTCATTACCATCTTATTTTGTTCTGTAATCTCTTGAATTTAACATGAATTATTAAATATTCTTTACAGGACTGCACTTTGATCCACCATTCCTTCCAAGATGCCATCAGACCCATGGAAGACGTTAATCCTGCTGCTCTAGGCATCAGTAATTACGGTAACATCTCTACTGCTGCCCGCATTAAAGAAGACTCCGAACCCACTGGATCGCTGGCAAAATTATCAGTGTTCAGGTGAATGTTTATATTTGGAAATGCTGAGCTATATATATATTCCAGAGGCATATATTAGAAGCATTCATTTGTGAAATGCTTATTGAAAAAGTTTTATGAAATCACTGGGTCACTGGTTGATCAGCAATGACTCACGAAATCAAAATGACACGATTGCAAACACACCATACCACGGATTTGTCTGTAAAAACTTGCATTTGTGGTTACAGTGGTGCCTGTGCTAACCTTCCTGTGGTGTAGAAATATACCTTGTTGGATGAATCTTATCGCATCTAGCTGGTCCAGTGGCTAACATGATGGTCTGGAGTTTTGTGACTCTCATCACGGGTTCTAACCCCACCCGTGGTATGGTTTGATCAGCAGTTTAGCAAATCTAGTGCTCTCTGTGAATAGATGAATTATCGACATTTGTGCTCTGAGGAAAAGTAAGCCAACCAGCCTACTGCTTTACTGGTACACTGCTAATGTATTTTTATCATCTTCTTTCAACAAACCGGCCATATCCCACCGAGGCAGGGTGGGATAAATTTAAAAAGTTTCTCTTTTTAAATTTAGTTATACACTTACCATCCGACTTACGACCTGCTCGACTTACGACCACTCGACTTACGACCGTGTTTTTTATGCCAAATTTCTGGGAAATAAACAACTATTTGTGTTGTACACAGTGTTTATCCTAAACCGTACAGTATAAAATACAGTACTAACAGCATAAAAAGTAAAGTAAAACATGAAATACCAAAATAAAACAATAAAATAAAGTCATTACAAAAATGTTTTGTTGATATTCAGTAGTAAAGTTCGACTTATGACCATTTCGACTTACGACCGGTTTCTCGGAACCGAACTCGGTCGTAAGTCGGATGGTAGGTGTATATACAGGAGAGGGAGTTATTTTTATCATATTCCTGCACATTTATGTACAGTGGACCATCTGTTTTATCTATCATTCTGTTTTAACTCACTATATTAACCTAAAACCTGTGTTGTGTAATTCAGATGAAGTGACAGGTTTTGAGGCTAAGGTCTAGCAAATCTAGAATTACCAGCCCAATTACTTAGCTCATTGAGCCACAGAAGACCATGGGGTTTCTTTGGTGTAGTGGGCTAAGGCACCAGGGTACTAATTCTAGATTTATTAGACCATAAGTTAAAAGTCAGTTGTTCCATTTGAAGTGTTGTATTCGTTTATTACTTGGTGCTAATCACACATGTTCTGGCAGTAATGAATCAGTTCTCATACAGGAAACCAGCGAACTATAATGATCATAATGGACAGGTGTTGTCTTCAGTACAAATGATTACCTGTAAAGAGGATGGTCCAGTCTCTAGCCACCATCTTGTTCAGTCAGCAAAGCAGTATCTCCTTACTGGTCGCTCTCTTCCCGAAATATGTGAACACAATTCTGCAGTAGCTAAAAAACTTAATAGACATCAGGTATGTGATTTCCCATTTGTGATAACCTGTTCATAGTTATTGGAGCAGAGTTATATTTGTGGTGTCCCATTTTTAGTGTTTGCATTTTCTTGTATATTTTTTTAAAGTTTCCAGTATTGTATTCCCTGTGATGATTTAAAGTTAGATGTACCTTCTTTTATACATGAATATTTTTTCACTTAAAAATTGCTGCCCATTTTGAATTTAACCCGTAAACAGTTCAAACGTATATATACGTTTTTTCAATATTTGAAAGTATGTAAAAAAAGTAGATCTTCTTTTTTTTTTTTTTTTACATTTGAAAATGTGTAAAAAAACTTTGATCTACTTTTTTTTTTGTTATATTTGAAAATATGTAAAAAAAACGTAGATCTACTTTTGTAGCACTACACATGTGAACGTAGATCTGCTTGGACCGTTTACGGGTTAATAATAGTTTACTGAGATGGCTTTCTTGGCTGGCTTGAAGAGAATATTACATAGCACTGAAGCTGATGTATTTCATTTTCATTTATATTCTTTCTTCAGGTGGCACTAACATGGCAGATGCTACATATGTTGTATATGGGTGTGGGTGGCGGAAGTGACCACTTGCCAGGGCTTCAGGGATCTAGTAGAGATGACCCAGCTATACAACCAGACACCAGTCTGGAAAATGAACAGAGGTAATGAAAAGATGCGTACAGTACTCATCTGTGTTCACGTCCTGTATTTTAATGTCTTCCTTTTTTTTTTTACACAGGGTTTAACCCTTAAACGGTCCAAAGAGATCGACGTTCAAATTCTTAGTGCTACAAAAGTAGATCTACTTTTTTTTTTACATATTTTCAGATATAACAAAAAAATAATTAGATAAAAGTTTTTTTTACACGTTTTCAAATGTAAAACAAAAGAGAAGATCTACATTTTTTTTTACATACTTTCAGATGTTGAAAAAACGTATACAGTGGACCCCCGGTTAACAAACTTTTTTCATTCCAGTAGTATGTTCAGGTGCCAGTACTGACCGAATTTTTTTCCATAAGGAATATTGTGAAGTAGATTAGTCCATTTCAGACCCCCAAACATACACGTACAAACGCACTTACATAAATACACTTACATAATTGGTCGCATTTGGAGGTGATCGTTAAGCGGGGGTCCACTGTATATACTTTTGGACCGTTTAAGGGTTAACAAGGTTAGGGTAAGGATTCCTAACTTAATTTACAAGCTAAGATCTGTTACCTACCTCAGCTATTTTAAGAGCCTTTTTATTGTTATGAGACATAGGGAACAGGATGAAGTTGGAGCCATCTGTGGGCCAACAAATTTACTTGATCAACTGACTTATTTTGTTGATATCATTATGCATTATGAACACATTCCAGACTTGAGTAATTCATCTTTTCTCATGATAGTCATTCATTATTTAAGTAGTGTGAGTTTATTAGGTATCAAGTGGTTGAGTGAAATTTTTTTTCTTTTTCCTACCTACAATTTTGTGTTTTTATTTCATTCACAACACGAGAGGGCCTTATTCGATCAGCTTCATATTTTTAATGCTTGTATATGGTAACTAGAGCAAGATTTTCACTTGTGGCCAACTTCCACAATTGTTCAGTCACTGCTGTTGCAAAATTTTGAGTGCTTAATGTATTTTGTGCATAAGAAAAAGTTTTGGAGTGAGATTAACAAGTTAAGGAAGCCTAGAGAACAAATGGATTTGTCAGTTAAAAATAGGAGAGGAGAGTTATTAAATGGAGAGTTAGAGGTATTGGGAAGATGGAGGGAATATTTTGAGGAATTGTTAAATGTTGATGAAGATAGGGAAGCTGTGATTTCGTGTATAGGGCAAGGAGGAATAACATCTTGTAGGAGTGAGGAAGAGCCAGTTGTGAGTGTGGGGGAAGTTCGTGAGGCAGTAGGTAAAATGAAAGGGGGTAAGGCAGCCGGGATTGATGGGATAAAGATAGAAATGTTAAAAGCAGGTGGGGATATAGTTTTGGAGTGGTTGGTGCAATTATTTAATAAATGTATGGAAGAGGGTAAGGTACCTAGGGATTGGCAGAGAGCATGCATAGTTCCTTTGTATAAAGGCAAAGGGGATAAAAGAGAGTGCAAAAATTATAGGGGGATAAGTCTGTTGAGTGTACCTGGTAAAGTGTATGGTAGAGTTATAATTGAAAGAATTAAGAGTAAGACGGAGAATAGGATAGCAGATGAACAAGGAGGCTTTAGGAAAGGTAGGGGGTGTGTGGACCAGGTGTTTACAGTGAAACATATAAGTGAACAGTATTTAGATAAGGCTAAAGAGGTCTTTGTGGCATTTATGGATTTGGAAAAGGCGTATGACAGGGTGGATAGGGGGGCAATGTGCAGATGTTGCAAGTGTATGGTGTAGGAGGTAGGTTACTGAAAGCAGTGAAGAGTTTTTTACGAGGATAGTGAGGCTCAAGTTAGAGTATGTTGAAAAGAGGGAAATTTTTTCCCAGTAAAAGTAGGCCTTAGACAAGGATGTGTGATGTCACCGTGGTTGTTTAATATATTTATAGATGGGGTTGTAAGAGAAGTAAATGCGAGGGTCTTGGCAAGAGGCGTGGAGTTAAAAGATAAAGAATCACACACAGGGTGGGAGTTGTCACAGCTGCTCTTTGCTGATGACACTGTGCTCTTGGGAGATTCTGAAGAGAAGTTGCAGAGATTGGTGGATGAATTTGGTAAGGGTGTGCAAAAAAGGGAAAATTAAAGGTGAATACAGGAAAGAGTAAGGTTATGAGGATAACAAAAAGATTAGGTGATGAAAGATTGAATATCAGATTGGAGGGAGAGAGTATGGAGGAGGTGAACGTATTCAGATATTTGGGAGTGGACGTGTCAGCGGATGGGTCTATGAAAGATGAGGTGAATTATAGAATTGATGAGGGAAAAAGAGTGAGTGGTGCACTTAGGAGTCTGTGGAGACAGAGAACTTTTGTCCTTGGAGGCAAAGAGGGGAATGTATGAGAGTATAGTTTTACCAACGCTCTTATATGGGTGTGAAGCATGGGTGATGAATGTTGCAGCGAGGAGAAGGCTGGAGGCAGTGGAGATGTCATGTCTGAGGGCAATGTGTGGTGTGAATATAATGCAGAGAATTCGTAGTTTGGAAGTTAGGAGGAGGTGCGGGATTACCAAAACTGTTGTCCAGAGGGCTGAGGAAGGGTTGTTGAGGTGGTTCGGACATGTAGAGAGAATGGAGCGAAACAGAATAACTTCAAGAGTGTATCAGTCTGTAGTGGAAGGAAGGCGGGGTAGGGGTCGGCCTAGGAAGGGTTGGAGGGAGGGGGTAAAGGAGGTTTTGTGTGCGAGGGGCTTGGACTTCCAGCAGGCATGCGTGAGCGTTGTTTGATAGGAGTGAATGGAGACAAATGGTTTTTAATACTTGACGTGCTGTTGGAGTGTGAGCAAAGTAACATTTATGAAGGGATTCAGGGAAACCGGCAGGCCGGACTTGAGTCCTGGAGATGGGAAGTACAGTGCCTGCACTCTGAAGGAGGGGTGTTAATGTTGCAGTTTAAAAACTGTAGTGTAAAGCACCCTTCTGGCAAGACAGTGATGGAGTGAATGATGGTGAAAGTTTTTCTTTTTCGGGCCACCCTGCCTTGGTGGGAATCGGCCAGTGTGATAATAAAAAATAAAAAATATTCACAAATAACCTACACACAGGAGAATAGTTAATGGTCCCAGTCAGACTGAAGCATCTTCATAAGTTTCTTTCTCCTTTGTGTTGGTTATTTGTGTATTGTTCTAATCACAGTATTTTTATTCTCTTATATGTAGTCTTTTAAATAAATCATACCATCAAAAATATATAATCTAAAACCTATGTCTACCCGAAATGCCTCAGCATTTATGCCAATGATTTATGCCAATCACATTATAAAATGTAAACACACATTGTAATCTTTGCAAAAAAATAAACTTTTATTTTGTTTTGTATGTGTTGCCTTGGAAAATAAGCGTTAATTCATGTATGCAGGTCATCACGTCATTTTTCCGGTGGTGATGCTGGTGGAGACACCTCTGGTGGAGGCTTCAGTGCAGAGGAAGCTGAGACAGAGACTGATGACACTGACAACCACGACCTGAAACTTACTAACATTGCTAGGTAAGCTCCTTTTAACTTGGTCAGTAAATTGTCCTTAATGTCTTCATAAAACTTGTATGAAAGCCTGTTTTATTTTGTATTCCCATTACAGTGACAGGATACAGTACCTCATTTCATTATTATTAGAATATTGTGCTGCTCTTTTTTAAAGTTTGAAATGAAATTTCCAGTTAATTTTTGTATTAAGATTAAGGCATCTCATATTCCCTAAACAATATACGTATTAACCCTTTCACTGTCGGTGACTTATTAGTATGGCTTACAAGCCAGTATCAGTGACATATTAATACGCCAAAATTCTAGCGGCTTCAAATCTAGCAGGAGAAAGCTGGTAAACCTACAAGTGAGAGAATGGGTCTGCGTGGTCAGTGTGCGCAATGTAAAAAAAATCCTACAGAATGCAATGCATAATGAGAAAAAAAAAAATTCTGACCATGTTTTTGGTTTAAAACGCCAACTTTGAGGTGCTTTTTTGTATGGTATTTATTGTTGCATTCTTATTTTCTTGGTATCATTTGATAGCATGGAAGATATAGTACAGAAATAGATGAAAAGTACCTTGAAATCGAGCTCAAATTTGCGGATATGTTCGAGTTTAAGAGTAAACAAAGGACAGCATGTGTCCAACTGGCCAGTCTAATACGTAGCCATGAATGAGTTGACATTATTTATACAATTATTACAATACTGCAGTAGTCTGCATGACAGTAAATCTTCTATTTTTTGTGTGAATAAAAATTCAAAATGGAAAGCAAGAGGGGCCTGGAGACATGACTAATGAACAGAGAAAATATTATTTTAGTAATAGGAATGTCTGTATTGTTTATTCTGCATCCTGTTTTGATATTGGCAACTTTTGAAATTTGTGTGAAATTGGCCAAATTATCAATTTCTGACCACTTTATTGGGTAGTTGAAATCAGCAAATGGGCAGTCTATTGTACTCATTGGATAGAACAAATGGAGTTCTAGTGAAATAGCTATGAGTTTGGTTGACTGGAACAATGGAATTTCCTGAAAATAGGGCTCAAAGTGGGTGAAATCACCAGTGCGTATATATCGCCAAGACTGCTAACTTCGCAAGAGCGTGAGTCCATAAGTTTTCCATCAAAGTTCTTACTTTTGGTGTCATTACCATCAGGACACTGAGAGCAAATTTGTGAGCAGGGGTCTCGACAGTGAAAGAGTTCAAAAGGATTCCTAATTTTGGAAACAGTTAGCTATTTTAGTAATCAGAGCCCAATAACTATCACCATTTCCAGTTTCACTTAATAAATAATACAGGGCAGTATATGCTTTATTAATGGAATTCACTAAAGGACTTTAAACTTCAAATATGAAGAAGTCCTTTTTCTCCTCTGTATATTTTAAGCAACTAATAATATTTTTTTGATAATTATGGTACAACAAACCCTTAGTTTAACCACATCACAATCTGTGCCATAGTACATACTACAGGTTTGAGGTTACTGTCTCTGCTGTAGTACTACGCCATGAGTTCAGTTCACTCAGATCAGCTGTGAGCGGTAAATTTGGGCCTAGATATGAGAGAATGGGTCTGTGTGGTAAGTATTCACTGTTTAAAAAAATCCTGCAGCACACTGTGCATAATGAGAAGAAAAAAGATGATTTTTTTTTATTTAAAACATTGACTGCGGTGTATTTTTGTATGGCTTTTATGGTTGTATTCTTGGTGTCTTGGTTTCATTTTATAAAATGGAAGGTATATTACAGAAATAGAGATGAATTTGATTAGTTTCAGGACGGCAAATAGTTTGAAATTGATCTCAAAGCAGCAGGAACATTCGATTTTTCTAATGCTTCAGAGTATGTACACAAATTACGTCATTCCTCCAATACGCAACGAACTGCTTGGTCTAATATTTGTTCAGGAATGTAATGACATTATTTATAAAATTATTAATATAATACAGTAGTCTGCATGGCAGTAAATCTTCTATTGTTTGTGTGAATAAAAATTCAAAATGGAAAGCAAGCATAATATAAGAGGGTCCTGGAAACATAACTGATGAACAAAGGACATGTTTTTTTAGTGCCAGGAATGTCTACATTGTTTATTCGGGCCCTATTTTAATATTGGCAGTTTTATAATTTTGTGTGAAAATGGTCTGATCACTTACAGTGGACCCCCGGTTAACTATATTTTTTCACTCCAGAAGTATGTTCAGGTGCCAGTACTGACCGAATTTGTTCCCATAAGGAATATTGTGAAGTAGATTAGTCCATTTCAGACCCCCAAACATACACGTACAAATGCACTTACATAAATACACTTACATAATTGGTCGCATTCGGAGGTGATCGTTATGCGGGGGTCCACTGTATTTGGTTAGTTGAAATAGGTAAATGGGTGGTTTCTTGTACTCAGACAATAGAATAAAAGGAATACTAGCAAAATACCTATGAGTTTGGTTTACTGAAACAATGGAATTTACTGAAAATAGGGCTTAGAGTGAGTGAAATCTCCGGTGTGTAATTATTACCAAGACCGCTAACTTTGCGAGAGTGTAATTCCATAAGTTCTCCATCAAATTTTGTACTTTTTACTTCATTACCTTTGGAAAATGATTATCTATCATTTTATAGATTTTTTTTTTGGGGGGGGGGGAATTCTTGAACGCTGAGAGCAATTCTCAGATCAGGAGTCCGAAGAGTGAAATGGTTAACAGTCTTTGGAAATAAAAGAGAACAAAATCCTTTGCGTCAGTAGATTTGAAATAACAAAGTTCATTGGTTATATGTAGAATTGTCCATTATAATGATCAGGGCTAAACAATCTCATCCACCACAGTCACTATTACTGCCCATCTGCTCCCTTTTATTAATCCATTACATCAAGCATTTACAGTACTTTTTTTTTTTTGGGGGGGGGGCTCTTTCCTTCCCTCTTTTATTTTTTACCCATATCTCCTTACAGTATATTCTTCGCTTGACTACAATGGAATACTCTTTATGTATTCCATTACTTTTTTGTGCAACTTTTAGGTTAACATTTACCTTGCTTTAATCACCTCTTTTCTAGTTTGCTTTATAAATGTATACTTTTTTTTTTTCAGTGGTATGACAATCAATCAAGACTTTTTCTTTGGAGATGGTGAAATTAACCAAATACCTTTTGATTACGATAATCTCAATAACATGGACACAAGTCAAGATTGGACTCTCCCTAATGAAGCTTTTGAACCACGGCACGATATCTTGCACCGATCTGCTATTCCACCTCAGGAATTCTCTTCAAAGTGTTCACCCAGAGAAATTCAAGACACTGGTAGGTATTCTAATTATCAGCCAGCTTGTTATGAAAAATGGCTTAAAAAATGGCAGGTTGATAAGTGAGAGACATTCAACATTTAGGTATCTTTATTCTGGAAACATTTTGCCAACCAGTGGCTTCTTCAGTCAGACTCAGACTCCTCATTTTCCACCTCTCTTCTTTTGACTGAAGTAGCCACTGGCTGGCAAAACATTAAAGGAATAAAGATACCCAAATGCTAGACAAATGTCTCATTTATCATTCTAATTATTATGTTCATGGGGAATAGCAAAATTTGGAGAAATTGTACAGTGCCTTGGGAATGGGGGGTTATCATGTTTCACCTGATAAAGGGCAGGGTAGCTTCAGTTCCATGGATCAAGAAACTTTCACCAGCATTGAGGCATTTGATCTTCAGCCATTTCTCTTTGCATTGGACCAATGTAACTACTGGTTTGCAAAATGTTTCCACAAAGATACTCGGTGTTGCAGGTGTCTAATTTATCATCCTGTAGGCTCTTCAAACCATTTTTCTACACTCTTTGAAGGGTTAGGTATAATAAGTACTTCAGTTTGCTTTCAAAGTTCAATATTGATACTGCGGGATATAGCGCACAATCTGAGTTTGATCTTATGGAGCCACAATGCAAAGCACCAACTTTCTAATATTTTGTTACGCTCATTGTTAGTGGGATGAATTGTAAAGGACCTGCCTAGTATGGGCCAACAGGCCTGCTGCAGTGTTCCTCCTTTCTTATGTTCTTATGTTCTTATGGGAAGTAGTGACCTAAAATTCCATATTAGATTTCTTAAAGCATCTCTTAAAGCTTTCACTGAGTAACGAGTTTATGATATCTTTTCTGAATTGTTTTATTTTCCTTTAGAATCTGTTTTAAACTTGTTAATTTGTGATACACTGGTTGTCTCCCACCGAGGTAGGATGATCAAAAAAAAAAAAAAAAAAGGAAACACGTTCATCATCACTCATTCAGTAGTTGTCTTGCTATATTAAAGTTAGGTTCCCTAATTTCAATTGATTTTTTTATTAAATGAAATTGGGTGTAGCAGTGTTGGTGTGTTTAGACTTGTAAATTTTCATTATAATTGGATAAGTTAATAAAAATCAGTTATATTAGAAGTGAATAAGGAAAGTAGTGTGTATTGTAATAAGCATGAGTGACTACCTTGAAGCTGGAACATGATAGTGTTTACAGGTCAATAAATAATATTTGTAACCAATAATTATTTGTCATTCTTTCTGTTCTTATTATTATTCTTCTCTCCTTAAGAAATGTTCCTTGATGCTGGTGAGAGGCTCTTGATTTAAGGAGCTTGACCGGATCTTCCCTTACTTGGATCGAATCTGATTTCCTCCCGTTCCTTCAGGCATTATATGACACCTATAGGTCTAGCACTCCCCTGTGAATGTAATATTAGCAATATCATTTCCTCCGCATTTTCTGGTTTCATAATACATAATAAATGATTGTTTTTTAGGTTGTGTTTCTGGTTATGTGATGGAGACTCCATCATTGCTTAGTGAGGTGCGAGGAACTGGGATGCCAGTCTGGGAATCTTCAGATCTTGTGGTGGAAATGCTCTATTCTTATGCCAATCGTGGAGATGTCCAGATGTCTGTTACGTGTATTATAGTTCTTGGTGACAAACTTAAGGTTAGCTATGTATTATACTGACTTTGATTGCAATTAACATTTGGCTTTTATTGCATTGCACTTTTATTGTTAAATGAAAGTTATTTTAATGTTATTTGTACACTAAAGGTATGTTGCTTTACTCTTGTATCTCAGTAAAATTTTTCTACTAATGTAAAACATCAAATAATGAGAAGAGAAGGATGCTTCTGAAAATATTTAGGGTAGTCATTGTGCAAAGCTTTTGTGCTTCATGTTTACACTGTACTGAGGCAAAACTCAAGTCATTGATCTAGTGTACTAAATAGCACTAGTGAGTTTCTTTAGTGTGAGTTTTAATAAACCCCTAGGAATAGACCTTTTCTAGTAATGCCTTTTATTCATTAGTATTAGCCCTCCCTTTCACTTTGAGTTCAATTTGCCTCCTCCTGCTTCCTGTCTTATCATTAACTGGCATCTCTGCATGTTGCCTCTCTTCTTTTTTGAAATGCATCATTAAAGACACTCAGAGTAGTGATAGGTGTCCATGGTCAATGGGTGAACCTGTCTCTGTTGTTAAGGTTTTTAGCAGATTTACATTCTCCTTTAGATTGGGACAAAGGGAAAACTGTTTGTTTTGAACCCAAGCCTATCTTCCCATTATCAATTTTAAAAATTAATTGTAAATTACATGATTAACTTTTAGGAATTGTTAAGTGTGCCACTGATTATTTGTCTGGCCAGTACATAACAAGTGAGCATCTAGCTGTTCTAGTAATATCTTGTGTTGTTCAGGGAGGATTTCTCCCTTTTCGGTCATGTTTTTTTTTTTTTCAACAAGTTGGTCATCTCCCACCGAGGCAGGGTGACCCAAAAAAGAAAGAAAATCCCCAAAAAGAAAATACTTTCATCATCATTCAACACTTTCACCACACTCACACATTATCACTGCTTTTGCAGAGGTGCTCAGAATACAACAGCTTAGAAGCATATACATATAAAGATACACAACATATCCCTCCAAACTGCCAATATCGGTCATGTTACTGTTGTTAAATGTTGTATGATCTTCCAAATATAAACATGTAAGATACTTGAAGGCCTAGTCCCCAACTTCACACTGCTATAATAAATTTACTGGAGTGAAAGCTATGGGATGAAGTGTGGAATAAACTTAGTGAAGAGCAGGGAGGGGACCATGTCAATGATATCCATAGCCCAAGACTCCAACACATTACTAACCGATATCAGAAATATTGTGAGAACATTGATAGAAGATGAAGCTGGAGACCATTCTTCTTCAAGTGCCAGATCAGCCACGTTTTGATGGCTGTGGGCCACTATCATAAACAGCATGTTGGACCAGGTGACCAACGAGGAAGCAAGCCTGACCTCAGGCTTGGTTGTAGAGGTAGAAAAGCCCTTGAAGCTAGTTACGAGTAAAAAAAAAGTACAAGGGCTTTTGCTGACTGTAGCCTCACACTTACAGTACATGTTATATATCAAGGAACCAAAAATGTGAAATACAGTTTGAGAGATGAAGGAATGTTGACTAGGGCTTGAGCCAACTATATACTGACTACTATAGAGAATAAGTGTGCCCTAGAGTGAAGGCCGATGGGTAAACTGAACTATAAGTGTTAAGGAAGTTAGATGACTTTGGAAATTCAGGTATTCAGATCTGTTTGTTAGTTATAACTTGATTTATTAAAATTAAATGCCATCTTCCACCTAGGTAGGGTTACCCAAAACAAAGGAAAACACTTTCACCATCACTCATTTAATAGCTGCCTCACTGAAAGTGTGCTGATATCACAATTCAAAATTACCTCTGAACCACAATATAGCCACCCATCCTCCAGAGTGCAGGTGCTGCATTTCTCACCTCCAGGACTCAGTCTGGCCAACCATTTTTTCCTGAATCCCTTCATGAATGTTACCAATCTCTCACTCCAACAGGACATCAGGCCATAAATACTATTTGTTTCCATTTGATTCAATCTAATATTTATATATTTTTAACACACTGACCATCTCCTACCAAGGCAGGTATAACCTAAAGAGAAACACTCATCATCATTCACACTATTACTGACAAGATATGATTTGTAAAATCAGTTTCTAGTATCTAACATTCCTGCTGTTACATAGAAAAAGCATTTTATACCCATCTTTTCAGGATCTCCTAGACCCAGACCAGGTCGAGCATTGGTTTCTATCTTACATTGACCTTCTGCAGCGTTTCCAGTTGTGGAATGTTGCCAATCAAGTCATTCAACTTGCAGGTAAATCACATTGTATTCATACAATTTCTGAATTAATAACTGGTTAGCGATTCATAAGGAAGTGATACACTCTTAAGATCATTCACCACTTGGGGTATGAGAGGTGATCAACTTTGATCAGTGGAAGGACAGGGTTTGTAATTATCTATAAAAGTTTGATATAGTTAATTAATCTCTAGCTCTTGTACCAATGTTTTATCTTTTGTTCATCTGACAGGTTTGAGCTTTTTTTGTATTTGCTTTTTGGTACATGTCTGTTACATGCTGTCCACTATTTACTTATGGTTTCAGAGATCATTGCCTCAACAATTTGGTCTCGTAATTTTCTTTTTTTCAACAAGTCGGCCGTCTCCCATTGGGGGAGGGTGACCCAAAAAAAAAGAAAATCCCCAAAAAGAAAATACTTCCATCATCATTCAACACTTTTACTTCACTCATACATAATCAGTGTCTCTGCAGAGGTGCCCAGATACAACAGTTTAGAAGCATATACAGTGGTCCCTCGTTTTCGTAGTTAATCCGTTCCTGGAGTTGCTACTATTATCGAAATCTACGATTGTGAATCAATTTTCCCCATAAGAAATAATGTAAATACAATCAATCCGTTCCTGACACCCAGAAGTATTAAAACAAAAAATTTTTTTACATGAAATATAGATGTAGTACATAAACAGTACAATGGGAAATGATGAACGAAACATTAACAGCATAACACTTACCTTTATTGGAGATTCTTCTTAGTGTATGGGAGACTGGAGGAGGAGAGAGATTGGATTGTTTACAGTTTGGAAGGGGAATCCCCTTCCAGCAACACCTCAGGTACCAATTACTTTTCTGGGGTTGCTTCTCTTCTCTGTTTCTTAATGCCACTAGGACCACCTTGAGAGTCACTGGAGTCCTGTCTTGCAAAATAACTGTGGAGAGAGCTCTGTTTCTGGCGTCTCTTTAACATTTCCCTAAAATGGCTCAAGACTTTGTCACTGTACATGTTGCCAACATGGCTTGCAACAACCTTGTCAGGGTGATGTTTCTCCGTAAAGCTTTCCATCTTACCCCACATAGCAAAAATCTCTTTAATTTCTGAAGAAGGCACCTTCTTCCATCTCTCTTCCTCCTCCTCTGCAGCAAGATTCTGAGATGCGATCTGTTGCTGTTCCTGCTGAAGCTCTTGCAGCTCCTCAGTGGTGAGCTCTTCGTTGTGGTCTTCCACCAACTCTTCCACATCCTCCAAACTCACATCCAACCCCATGGAACTCCCCAGTGCCACAATTGATTTAACAACAGATATAGGCTCATCAGGGCCAGTCCCAAACCCTTCAAAATCCCTCTTGTTGACACAATCTGGCCACAATTTTCTCCAAGCAGAGTTCAAAGTCCTGGTAGTCACTCCCTCCCAAACCATACCTATAAGGGTCAAGGGAGTGTCTGTGGTCACAGTCAAGCACCTGTGAAACATTGCTTTGATGTAGAGTTTTTTAAAGTTTGCAGTGACCTGCTGGCCCATGGGCTGAGGGAGAGGAGTGGTATTCGGGGGCAAGAACTTTACTGTGATGAACCCAAACTCCTCAAAAATTAGGTCATCCAAGTTTGGAGGATGAGCAGGTGCATTGTCCATTACTAGCAGGCACTTGAGATCCAATTTCTTTTCCAGGAGATAATTCTTCACACTAGGGCCAAACACTTCATTGAACCACTTGACGAAAATTTCCCTCGTGACCCATGCCTTATTATTAGATCTCCAAAACACACACAATTCACTCTTCATAACATTGTTTTTCCTGAACACTCTGGGATTTTCAGAATGGTACACTAGTAATGGCTTCACTTTGAAATCCCCACTAGCATTAGCATAGAACATGAGCGTCAGCCTGTCTTTCATAGGCTTGTGTCCTTGCATTGCCTTTTCCTCCTGTGTAATGAAGGTCCTCTTTGGCATTTTCTTCCAAAAGAGGCCTGTTTCGTCACAATTGAACACTTGTTCAGGTTTCAGTCCTTCAGCCTCTATGTACTCCTTGAATCCATGCACATATTTTTCAGCCACCTTGTGGTCCGAACTGGCAGCCTCACCATGCCTTACCACACTGTGTATGCCAGTACGGTTCTTAAGTCTCTCAAACCAACCTTTGCTGGCCTTAAATTCACTCACATCACCACTATTTGCAGGCAATTTCTTTACCAGATCGTTGTGCAACTGCCTAGCTTTTTCACAAATAATTGAAGTCATAAGAGTATCTCCTGCTAATTCTCGTTTATCCACACCAATAATAACTTCTCAACATCTTCGAGTACTGGTAATCTCATTTTTGTCAGCATAGTTACCCCCTTTGCAACAACAGCGTCCTTGATTTCCTTTTTCTTGGCCACTATGGAACATATGGTTGCATAGTGTTTCTTATACATCCTGGCCAGTTCGGCTGCACTTGTGCCACTTTCATATTGTTCAATGATGTTTTTCTTAAATTCAATCGTTTTTCTCACCTTCATTACCACAGGCTTGGCACTAGGAGCTTTCTTTGGAGCCATGGTAGCTTATTTAGTACTTGCAAGCACTAAAATGAGTGGAATCTTTCTTTCAACACATCGGCCGTATCCCACCGAGGCAGGGTGGCCCAAAAGGAAAAACGAAAGTTTCTCCTTTTACATTTAGTAATATATACAGGAGAAGGGGTTACTAGCCCCTTGCCCCTGGCATTTTAGTTGCCTCTTACAACACGCATGGCTTACGGAGGAAGAATTCTGTTCCACTTCCCCATGAAGATAAGAGGAAATAAACAAGAACAAGAACTAGAAAGAAAATGGCAGAAAACCCAGAAGGGTGTGTATATATTTGCTTGTACATGTGTGTATAGTGTGACCTAAGTGTAAGTAGAAGTAGCAAGACGTACCTGTAATCTTGCATATTTATGAGACAGACAAAAGACACCAGCAATCCTACCATCATGTAGAACAATTACAGGCTTTCGTTTTACACTCACTTGGCAGGACGGTAGTACCTCCCTGGGTGGTTGCTGTCTACCAACCTACTACCTATAAAAAATGAGTGGAATATTATGAAATATTTTGTAGGAGCACGTGAGGGGACCTTTGCTCACTGGTAAACAATGCCAGATTGGCTGGGTAGGGAGGCTGCCCTGGCTCACACCGTGCGTACGTGTCCCGGACGAACTACTATTCGCTAGTCAAACCTATGATTAGCAAGCCCATGTTTATACGAAAATATCCCTATGATTTCCGAAATCTATGATTCCCGAGAACTACGAAAAACGAGGGACCACTATGTATAAAGATATATAACAAATCCCTCCAAACTGCCAATATTCCAAACCCCTTCTTTAAAGTGCAGGCATTGTACTTCCCATTTCCAGTACTCGGGTCTGGCTATATAAAAATAACCGGTTTCCCTGAATCCCTTCACTAAATATTACCCTGCTCACACTCAGCAGCTCGTCAGATCCCATAAATTGGAAAGTAAATTTATAGGAATAAAACTATTAAGAAACAAACAAGAAAGTAAAGAGTATGGTGCATGTGATATTCCCTAAATAAATAATTTGATAGCCCTTATATGTTTTTAAGACCCCAGTCACCTTCCACCAAGGTAGGGTGACCCATAAAGAGAAGAAGCACTTTCACCATCACTCTTTCAATCACTGTCTTGCCGCATGCTTGATGATGTCTCAGTTCAGATGACCCTGTGAACAGCAACATCCTCATGCCTTCAAAGTACAGTCGATGTACTTCTAATCTCCAGGACTCAAAGTCCTTCTAACCATTTACCCTGAATCCCTTTATTAATGTTACCTTGCTCTGTATATCATGCAGAAAGGCAAAAGATAAGTTTACAGCTTACCTTTGAACTTTCAAAACTAGAAACATTTAAACTGCCTATGCTGATAGAGGAATGAAAAAAGAGAAGATAATCACATAAAAGGCTATACAAGGTTACAAGATAGAAGATAATAAAGATTTCGTAGCATTATCAACAGGGAAAACACTTGGCCATGGCTGTAAACTTAAAAAAAACCAATGTCAAAAAGCTACTTGAAAATTTTTCTCTGCAGAGAAGTAGGATATTTCTCCAATGAAAAGTGGAGGAGAATCCTTCCTCTGTAAGCCATGAGTGTCGTAAGAGGTGACTAAAATGAAACGCTGGAAGCAAGGGGCTGGTAACTCCTTCTCCTGTATAAATTACTAAATCCCTGCCTCAGTGGGACACGGCCAATGTGTTAAAAACAAAAAAAGTGGAATATTGGATTTTAATCCAAGAGGAAGTATAAAATAGCTATTACAACCACTAGAATTTCTTTGAAAAATTATGAAAAAATGAGGATGAGGCACAAAGAGCACACTTCTGCTCCTGTAACTACAGTTAGATAGAACAAATTCCTATGCATGTGTAGAAATATCAATATCAATATGCAATTGCTTAAAAAATTATAGCTACATGTATATAGTAAATATTTCAGAGGGCCTTCCTTCAGTGTTACAGCAGAACCAACAGTCCACAACAGTGACACTGCACTGTGGCCGCTGTAACCATCCTCTGGGCTGGAACAATCTGTTGTGTAGAAAGGTATGTGACAGGATGTACTGTGAGGTCATAAACAGTGTTACTTCACTGTTCTTCATCTATGATGTGAACAGATATAATGTAATTTTCAGTGTCTAGAAAAACTGGTAGCAGCTGTTGGATCCTATTATTATTCTTATTATTATTACATTCATTGAAGAGTGGGGAGCACTAAACCCATAGAGGTTATACAGGACCTGGGAGAATGGGAGGCTATAAGGTTTGATCCAAAGGAAATGAGGGTAGGTCAAAGGAATATCCCTTGTTGGGCAAATCATTCATATTTCTCCAAACAAATATTTGTCACAAACATATTTCTTTCAAGGGAAGAGGGGGTGCCTTGATGCTGAAGAGCACTTGATTCAAGAAGTTAGAGCCACCCACCATTTCCTTGGATCAAACCTGATTATGGGATTGCCATGAACATATTTTTTTAATGCATTAGCCATATCCCACCAAGGTAAGTTGACACAAAAAAGTTAAAACACATTCATTGTCATTCATTCAAGCACTGTCTTGCTATAAGTGTGCTGACAGCAAAGTTAAGATGACCATTTGAACTGCAACATCCTTGCTTCTCCTTCAGAATGCAGGCAGTGTACTTCCCACATCTGGGACTCTTAAATTCAACTAACCAGTGTTCCCTTAATCCCTTCATAAATGTTACCTTGCTCACGTGTCACATCAGCATGTCATAATAATTGCATGTTGGATAGGATTGAGTGGTTTTTATGATTTGAAGTGCTGTTGGAGTGTGTGCAGGGTAAGATTTATAAAGATATTCAGGGAAACCAATTTGCTGGACTAGAGTCCTGTAGGTGGAAAGTATAGTGCCTGCACTCTGAAGGAGGAGTGGGGATATTGCACTTTGGAAGGTCATCTGAACTGTAGTATCAGCACTTCTCTGGCAAGACAGTGATGGAGTGAGTGATAGTGAAAGTTTCTTCTTATTTGGGTTACCTTACCACAGTGGGAGACAGCCAATTTGTTAAAAAAAATAATGTGTAAGTGAAATGCACTCATGCATTTTGGAAACTTTATTAACAGATGATGTGTTGATTGGTTAGGGTGTGTAGAAGAGAGGGAGAATACTTCCCGGTAAAAGTAGGTCTTAGACAGGGATGTGTAATGTCACCATGGTTGTTTAATATATTTATAGATGGGGTTGTAAAAGAAGTAAATGCTAGGGTGTTCGGGAGAGGGGTGGGATTAAATTATGGGGAATCAAATTCAAAATGGGAATTGACACAGTTACTTTTTGCAGATGATACTGTGCTTATGGGAGATTCTAAAGAAAAATTGCAAAGGTTAGTGGATGAGTTTGAGAATGTGCGTAAAGGTAGAAAGTTGAAAGTGAACATAGAAAAGAGTAAGGTGATGAGGGTATCAAATGATTTAGATAAAGAAAAATTGGATATCAAATTGGGGAGGAGGAGTATGGAAGAAGTGAATGTTTCAGATACTTGGGAGTTGACGTGTCGGCGGATGGATTTATGAAGGATGAGGTTAATCATAGAATTGATGAGGGAAAAAAGGTGAGTGGTGCGTTGAGGTATATGTGGAGTCAAAAAACGTTATCTATGGAGGCAAAGAAGGAATGTATGAAAGTATAGTAGTACCAACACTCTTATATGGATGGAAGCTTGGGTGGTAAATGCAGCAGCGAGGAGACGGTTGGAGGCAGTGGAGATGTCCTGTCTAAGGGCAATGTGTGGTGTAAATATTATGCAGAAAATTCGGAGTGTGGAAATTAGGAGAAGGTGTGGAGTTAATAAAAGCATTAGTCAGAGGGCAGAAGAGGGGTTGTTGAGGTGGTTTGGTCATTTAGAGAGAATGGATCAAAGTAGAATGACATGGAAAGCATATAAATCTATAGGGGAAGGAAAGAGGGGGAGGGGTCGTCCTCGAAAGGGTTGGAAAGAGGGGGTAAAGGAGGTTTTGTGGGCGAGGGGCTTGGACTTCCAGCAAGCGTGCATGAGCGTGTTAGATAGGAGTGAATGGAGATGAATGATACTTGGGACCTGACGATCTGTTTTGGAGTGTGAGCAGGGTAATATTTAGTGAAGGGATTCAGGGAAACCGGTTTTTCATATAGTCGGACTTGAGTCCTGGAAATGGGAAGTACAATGCCTGCACTTTAAAGGAGGGGTTTGGGATATTGGCAGTTTGGAGGGATATGTTGTGTATCTTTATACGTATATGCTTCTAAACTGTTGTATTCTGAGCACCTCTGCAAAAACAGTGATAATGTGTGCGTGTGGTGAAAGTGTTGAATGATGATGAAAGTATTTTCTTTTTGGGGATTTTCTTTCTTTTTTGGGTCACCCTGCCTCGGTGGGAGACGACCGACTTGTTGAAAAAAAAAAAAAGTGTTGATTGGATTTAAGTAGATATCTAACCTTTATCCAGTATTATTAAAAGTGCCCAGTAAATAATGTGGTAAAAAATGACTTTGTGCAGAGTGAATCTGTATTAACGGTGTTTCACCCATGCTGGGGCTTTATTACTTGTCTCCACTATAAAAGTTGCCTCTATATTAGAGGGCAAAAACCTGCTATGCAGGGGAAATGTCTCATCACTAGAGTACCCAGGTGTTGTACATGTCTTATTAATCACTGTGTCTGTATTGCATATCATAATTCTTGAATGGGGAGGGCCTTGATGCCTTTGAAGGGGGTCTTGATTTAAGGAATTGGAGCTACCTTTCCTTAACAATAAACTTGACTACCTCCTTATTTTTTCAAGAATATGTATTATACCTTTGGGTTCAGTGCATTACTAGGAATATAATAATGATTGCCCTCTTAATAACTAGAAAAAAAGTAATGGGTACAGCTTACATGAGGTAGAGAAGGTGATGGTACTGCTTACATGAGGTAGAGATAATGGTACAGCTTGCATGAAGTAGAGGTGATGGTACAGCTTACATGAGGTAGGAAGGAGGATTGTTTGTGTATCATTACTCTGTTAAGCTGAAAGAGTTTATATAAATGTCTTGCAGTATTTTGACATTGAAGTACAGTCAGCTCTTATAAAAACTCCTCTGTAGAGTAATTTTTCATAAGTGTGATTGAAAAATTGCATTGAAAATTGAATATCACATACTATGAAGGCCTTTCTACATGCTATTCAGTTTTGGATGTACTTTTTTAGTTGCATTTACAATAAATTGAATATATAGAGGTGCCTTATAAGAGAGTTGACTGTACTGTATGTACACTTGGGCTATTATACAGTATTCACAAAAAATCGCTAAACCTGTATGGGTCACATAACTATATACACTTAATGCAAATTTTATGCTACATTACATACAAGGGGAGAGTACTAAACCCATAAGGATCATAAAGTGCCTAAGTAATCAGAAGCAACCAGATTTGATCCAAGGGAGGATAGTTGCAATATCTTGTTTTAAGAAATGGGAGACCAAGAAACTATGGAGTGGTTCCTCCATTTAGGATGTAGGAAGATTCACTATTGTTGTCTTGGTGTTTACCTTTACATTATATCCCTTTACCTGAATCTGTACAGACAAGGCCCTTCCCACAAGGGGAATAAATTGTTTATATATTTATTATTTATGGGGAAGCACTAAACCCATAAGGGTCTTGCAGTACTTGAGGAATGGGAGGTTATCAAGTTTGATCCAAAGATAGCTCCAATTCCTTAGATCAAGAACCCTTTGTTGACATGAAGGCATCCCTCTTTGAAGGGTATATACTGCAAAAGAATTTTATTCTTTTAATTTATATATTTTGCATATTGGCATCGAAGTCTGGTATACCATTGGTATCAGAAGTAGTAGGGTGGTGCTGCAGTGCTGAGAAAGACCTCATATTCCAAGGGCTTGGAGCAATACTTCCATTCTTTAGATGAAACCTGATTGCCATCTTTCCCCAGGCACTGTATGGCCCTTAAGGGTTTAGAATTTCCCCCATGAATATTTAATATTAGTAGCTGAGGCCTTAATTTTTTTTTAAATGCTCCAGAATTTTCATATTAAGATGGCTATTATTATTTTATTATTCTTTTTTAGTGTGGATGTGCATCAGCAACGTGCTCTCTGTGTCATGGAATAGTGCGTGGACTCTATGTATGGTGTCAGGGGTGCTCCCACGGTGGCCACCTTCAACATATGATGCAGTGGGTGGCCAACAACAAAGCTTGTCCAGCAGGATGTGGTCACTTATGTGAATATACATAGTGTCTTCATGGTATCTATTTATTTTACTTTTTATTAATCATATTTTATCTCATAATCTAAAGGAATTTATATTTTAGTATTAGTGCAAATTTACATCTGCTAATTAAACACTGTGAAAATAGTAAACCCTTGATATAACAAACTCTTACGACACGCCATGCGTGTCGTAAGACGCGATTAAAATGCCGGGAGCAAGAGGCTAGTAACCCCTTCTCCTGTATATATTACTAAATGTAAAAGGAGAAACTTTTGTTTTCCTTTTGGGCTACCCCGCCTCGGTGGGATACAGCCGGTGTGTTGAAAGAAAGATATATATATATATATATATATATATATATATATATATATATATATATATATATATATATATATATTTTTAGCAAGTTGGCCATCTCCCACCTAGGCAGGGTGACCAAAAAGAAAGAAAATCCCCAAAAAGAAAATACTTTCATCATCATTCAACACTTTGACCTCACTCATACATAATCACTGTTTTTGCAGAGGTGCCCAGATACAACAGTTTAGAAGCATATATAAAGATACATAACATATCCCTCCAAACTGCCAATATCCCAAACCCCTCCTTTAAAGTGCAGGCATTGTACTTCCCATTTCCAGTACTCAAGTCCGGCTATATAAAAATAACCGGTTTCCCTGAATCCCTTAACTAAATATTATCCTGCTCACACTCCAACAGCTTGTCAGGTCCCAAATACCATTCATCTCCATTCACTCCTATCTAATACGCTTGCTGGAAGTCCAAGCCCCTCGCCCACAAAACCTTTACCCCCTCCATCCAACCTTTTCGAGGATGACCCCTACCCCGCCTTCCTTCCCCTACAGATTTATACACTCTCCATGTCATTCTACTTTGATTCATTCTCTCTAAATGACCAAACCACCTCAGTAACCCCTCTTCAGCCCTCTGACTAATACTTTTATTAACTCCACACCTTCTCCGAATTTTCTGCATTATATTCACACCACACATTGCCCTTAGACAGGACATCTCCACTGCCTCCAACCACCTCCTCGCTGCAGCATTTAGAACCCAAGTTTCACACCCATATAAGAGTGTTCGTACTACTATACTTTCATACATTCCCTTCTTTGCCTCCATAGATAACTTTTTTGTCTCCAAATATACCTCAATGCACCACTCGCCTTTTTTCCTTCATCAGTTCTATCATTAACCTCATCCTTCATAAATCCATCCACTGACACATCAACTCCCAAATATCTGAAAACATTCACTTCTTCCGTATAATAATAATAATCACTTCTTCCGTACTCCTCCTCGCCAATTTGATATCCAATTTTTCTTTATCTAAATCATTTGATACCTTCATCACCTTACTTTTTTCTATGTTCACTTTCAGCTTTCTACCTTTACACACACTTCGAAACTCATCCACTAACCTTTGCAATTTTTTTTAGAATCTCCCATAAGCACAGTATCATCGGCAAAAAGTAACTGTCAATTCCCATTTTGTATTTGATTCCCAATAATTTAATCCCACCCCTCTCCCGAACACCCTAGCATTTACTTCTTTTACAACCCCATCTATAAATATATTAAACAACCATGGTGACATTACACATCCCTGTCTAAGACCTACTTTTACCGGGAAGTAGTCTCCCTCTCTTCTACACACCCTAACCTGAGCCTATCTTCATAAAAACTCTGTACAGTATTTAGTAACTTACCACCTATTCCATATACTTGTAACATCTGCCACATTGCTCCCCTATCCACTATCATATGCCTTTTCTAAATCCATAAATGCAATAAAAACTACCCTACCTTTATCTAAATACTGTTCACATATATGCTTCAATGTAAACACTTGATCTACACATACCCTACCCACTCTAAAGCCTCCCTGCTCATCTGTAATCCTACATTCTGTCTTACCTTCAATAACAACCCTACTGTACACTTTTCCTGGTATGCTCAGTAAACTTATTCCTCTATAATGTTTACAATCTCTCTTGTCTCCCTTCCCTTTATATAAAGTGACTATACATGCTCTCTGCCAATCCCTAGGTACCTTCCCTTCTTCTTTCATACATTTATTAAACAAAAATACCAACCACTCCAACAGTATATCTCCCCCTGCTTTTAACATTTCTGTCATGACCCCGTCAGTTCCAGCTGCTTTACCCCCTTTCATCCCTATGTAATACCTCACGCACCTCCTCCACACTCGCATCCCTCTTCTTCACTCCTAAAAGATGGTATACCTCCCTGGCCAGTGCATGAAATTACTGCCTCCCTTTCTTCATCGACATTTAAAAGTTCCTCAAAATATTCTTGCCATCTACCCAATACCTCCATCTCCCCATCTACTAACTCCCCTACTCTGTTTTTAACTGACAAATCCATTTGTTCCCTAGGCTTTCATAACTTGTTTAACTCACTCCAAAATTTTTTCTTATTTTCATTAAAATTTGTTGACAGTGCATCTCCCACTCTATCATCTGCTCTCCTTTTGCACTCTCTCACCTTTCTTTTACTCTCCATATACTCTACTCTTCTTATAACACTTCTGCTTTGTAAAAACCTCTCATAAGCTACCTTTTTCTCTTTTATCACACCCTTTACTTCATCATTCCACCAATCACTCCTCTTTCCTCCTGCCCCCACCTTCCTATAATCACAAACTTCTGCCCCACATTCTAATACTGCATTTTTAAAACTATTCCAACCCTCTTCAACCCCCCCACTACTCATACTTGCACCAGCCCACCTTTCTGCCAATAGTTGCTTACATCTCACCTGAACTTCCTACTCCCATAGTTTACACACTTTCACCTCCCTCTTACTTGTTGTTGCCATTTTCCTCTTGTCCCATCTACCTTTTACTCTAACTGTAGCTACAACTAAATAAATAACATGCTGGCCATGTCCCACTGAGGCAGGGTGACCCGAAAAAGAAATGCTTTCGCCATCATTCACACCATCACTGTCTTGCCAGAGGCATGCAGATATGACAGTTTAAATGTCAGTCTCGCAACAGATATCCAACACCCCTCATTTAAAGTGCAGGCATTGTATTTCCCACCTCCAGGACTAAAGTCTGGCTAACCGCTTTCCCTGAATCCCTTCACAAAATATTACCCTGCTTGCACTCCAACAGCTCGTCAAGTCCCAGAAACCATTTATATCTACTCCTATCTAACATGCTCACCTATGCCTACTGCATGTCGAAGCCCCTTGAACACCAGACCTCCTTTACTCCCTCCCTCCATTCTTCCCTGCCTTCCCACTACAGATTTACACACTCCTCAGCCCTCTGAATAATACTTTTAGTAACTCCACACCTCCAAATTTCCACACTACGAATTCTCTGCATAACATTTACTGTCTCCAGCCTCCTCCTCACTGCAACATTCACAACCCATGCTTCACACCCATATGAAAGTGTTGGTACCACTATACTCTCATACATTTCCCTCTTTGCCTCAATGGATAACGTTCTTTATTTAATAAATGAATCTTAATGCACTGGTCATATCCCATCTAAGTAGGATGACAAAAAATCACCATTTTTCAACGAATCAGTGTTTTGCCAGAGGGATCACAGTTCAGATTACCCTCCAAACTGCATTATCCTCACCCTTTCTTTAGAGGGCAGGCACTTATCTTCAGACCCCTAGAATCTAAGTCCAGCTAACCCATTTCCCATGAATCCCTTCATTCCTGTTACCTTTCTCACACTCCAACAGCACATGAAGCCATAATTCCACTTCCACTCATTCTGATCTAACATGCTCAGACAAGCCTCCTGGACATAAAAGCTCCTAGCACTTATAACCTGTACTACTTCCAATCCTTCCTGAGATGATCCCCTGCCCCTCCTTCCTTCCATTCCAGAAATATATACCCTCTTAGTCATCCCATTCTGCTTTACCCTCTCTAAATGCCAAACCACTTCAACAGCTCCTCAGCCTTCTGAATTATACTTTTGGTAACCTCCATATCATCTTTAACACTCCACATTCTCTCAAAATCTTCACTGCCTCCATTCTTCTTGCTGCTGAGTTCAGACTACATGCCTCACACCAACAAAAGTATTGGTACCATTACACTCTTGCTACATTCCTCTATTTCTTTCCATAGTTAAATTTATTTTCACAGTTGCCTCAACACACTGACTACCTATTCTGTAATTTCCCTTGTCCTTCATAAACCCGTCTCCTAAATATCTGAATACCGTTGCTTCACCCATTTTCCTGATGCCTCTCCTCTTGCTTTCCCTTTCCACTCTTATAACACCCCCTTCCCTCTTTTTTGTGCACTACACACACTATCACTTTACACTGTAAAAAACTTTTCTATTCTAACTTTTGCCCTTACCACCCAATTTAACCTCATTCCACTAATCATTCCTCCTTCCACCTGGATCCATCCTCCTCCTTTCAACAAACCAGTCATATCCCACTGAGGCAGGGTGACCCAAAAAGAAAAACAAAAGTTTCTCTTTTTAACTTTAGTAATGTATACAGAAGAAGGGGTTACTAGCCCCTTGGTCCCGGCATTTTAGTCGCCTCTTAAGACACGCATGACTTACGGAGGAAGAATTCTGTTCCACTTTCCCCATGGAGATAAGAGGAAATAAACAAGAACTAGTAAGAAAATAGAAACCCAGAAGGGTGTGTATATATATGCTTGTACATGCCAGTGTAGTGTAACCTAAGTGTAAGTAGAAGAAGCAAGATGTACCTGAAATCTTGCATGTTTGAGACAGAAAAAAAAACACCAGCAATCTTACCATCCATCCTCCTATACCTACAAAATTCTGCTGAGCACACTAGCATTGCAGCCTTAATCAGCCCCATACATCCAGCTTTCCCCCCTTATTACCTGTACTCTAACCTATCTTTTCTCCATTAGTTGCTCTTATCTTACCATGTCTCCTTAACTTCATTCACTTCACGTTTACCCACTGATCACTACCACTAAATAATAATCTGACTTATCTGTTGGCTCTAAAACATGCACATCCAGAAGTCTACCTGTCAAAATTTTATCTACCAATACACAGTCTAGCAAACTGCTGTCATTGCACCCTGTAATATATCTGATCTACTTATTTATCTTCTTAAAATATGCATTTCCTATTACCAAACTTTTGCTATATATATTTCTACAAGTACATGTACAAGGTATACAGGCCTAGCTGACATCGGTGACACTACTATATAGAAAGCTGCTTGTTATGCTCTCAGAGCAAATTAGGTCAGTTTTGTCTCAGGATATGACCTACACCAGTCGACTAACTCCCAGGTACCCACTTTACTGATGGGGAACACAGACAACCGGTGTAAAGAAACACACCTAATATTTCTACCCTCGCCAGGAATCGAACCTAGACCTTGCTGTGTGAAGCGAGAGCTTTAGCCACCAGGCCACAATATTGTTAACCCCTATCAATCCAAAGTTACCTACTATGCCATTTACAATAGTCTCACTTTAGCATTTAGGTCTCCCACAACAATTATTGTCTCACTTAGCTCAACACTGCCTAATCGCTCAATACCTCCAACAATCTCTCTACATCTCTCACCCCCAGGAGCATACAAAACTTTCTATCACCCACTGCATCCCACTTTCATTTTAATCTGCATAATTCTTAAATTTATACAATTTTACCCCTTTTACCTTTTCATTTAATATACTGTGGTTGCAATTCTCAGATAAACCTGATCTAATCCAATTTACTCCCCATTGAAATTCTTCCACCCTTTTAGCTTATTTTCATTCAAAACATTATCAATTCTTTCTTGTTCATACATCTACACTTAACAAAAAAAAATGCCCAATACAGTGACTGGAACGATACACAAATAACCACTCTTCACAGTTTATTTTCCCGTCTTGACTACCCTTCAAATTTCATAGACTCGGTCTTCTCGCATGCTAAACGTAATTTCGCTACTCCTGGGAACTCTTCTGTTCTCTCCCTTCTACATTTCTGGTCTTTCTAATCTCAACAACTCTCTCCATTCCTTAGACATCAAACTTACTTTCCGCCAGACTAACACTCTTCGCACTGATCTAGTTCATACCTCTTCTCCCTCTATAGATGCTCCTGGTGTCTACTCGTTCTTGTTCCTCCTGTCCTCTTCAGTACTTCGGGGAAACTGGCCAATCTCTGTCTGACAGACTTAGGGAGCACGATAGTAGTGTTAGGCTTGGCAACACTAACAATGCTCTTTTCTGTCACGTCAGAGATCAGTCATCCTATTGACTGGTCTTCTGATAAAACTGTCTTCCCTGCTTCCAACTTTAACAGTCGCTATCTGGTTGAATCCTCCCTTATACACAACTTTCCTTGTACGAATCTTAGTCCTGGCTTCGTCTCTGTAGATGCCTTCCTTTCCCACTACATTGTAAAATGCTGCAAACTTCAGAACACCTGATTCCTTTTTCTTCTTCTCCCTCTTCCCCTTTCTCCTTCATTATTCTGTGTTCTTGCTCCCACCCTCTGGGCCCCTAGCTCCCTCGCAGTGCTCCTCTTTCTTAGTATTTGACTACCTCCCCCACTACCACCACCTGGCCTATATATACTCTCTCCTTTTCATTAGTGTGACTTTGTAAATGGCCCAAGTTGGACCGAAACATTGTTGTAAGCTCCTCTCTCTGTGCGGGTTATTTGTGTATCTACACAAACACCCCAATTTCAAAATTTTGCTAATCTTATTTAGTAACTGAATACAGAAGGGGTTACTAGCTCCTAGCATTTCAGTTGCCTCTTATGAATGGCTTACAGGGAAAGAATTCTAGCACACTATCACAGTGAGTTTAATTGCAATATATGAGCATGTGTGTTTATGGACATTATTCTTTAAATGATCTTTTAAAGTATTATTAATCCTACGGTACATTAAAAATAATAATCTCTAGCCGACACATTGCTACCCATCCTTCAGAGTGCAAGCTGTTAAGCTATTTAGATCATTAGGTACACAACATAAACATTAAGAACTAAACATTTGTAATATATAACTATTTGTCCTGGAGGAAATTAAAGCACCAATGTTGTTCAACAAAGTACTGTATTATCTGTACTTTAATATGTTCATAAAATTTTATATTTACACTGTGTTAATTCCTCATTTAACAAAAAAGAGCAAGATACCAAGACTTCTGACAATAGGCTTTACCACAAATATATTTTGAATAAGAGGACTAATGTAATAATATCACTTTGAATAAAGATAATTAAATACATCAGTCTTCCGACAGGTACAATATACATCTACAAAATGCATTTCATGACAAAAAATTGATTTGCTGGCCAAAACTGAAAAAACCACTATCAATGTAGAAGGTCACTTGGTGGGATATTATCACTTGGAAAGTCACTAGAGATTAAATTCTCTCTGAAATGTGACGAAGTTCCACTTCTTATTACAGTGGATTGCCCAGGTCTGGTTCAGATCACTGTGATAATTACTGCAGATCACTGTGATGATGAATGCAGATCATGGTGATAATGACTGTGTAACACAGCCACCACTGACGGGCATGTACTTGATCTGGCTGCTAGGGCTTCTGCTTCCTTTACTGCTGCTGCTGCTTGTGCTCTTGTTCGAGGGTCCTGTGCACGAGGGCCCCATAGGAGGACCACACTCAGGGTCAGAGTCTGAACTTCCTGCTGGTGAGACTAGGTGATCCTTACCACCCCGTGAAAGCTGAAGACGCCGAAGGAACCTGCAATGAGACACCCAGACTTCAGCAGCCCTGCAAGAGAGAGAAGGAGGGAGTGAGGGGGAGGGTGGGTAGGATGTGGATGTGGCTCGTGGTAAAAGGTGTGACTTAAGGTTTTGAAGCTTTATTTATATACCAAAAAATCTAACTATTCATATCCTACAGATCACTCAGATACACAGGCACGTTTAAACATTTGAACGTGAACACTTGCATAGATGTGTAACTCGTCCTCCAAAGCAAACATTGTTATTAACTGACTCGCGAAGGTCCATAAAGTGACCACAATACTGCAGTATGAATGTCTGATTTTACTGTCATGCATTCTCAAAACTGACAGTAATATTAATTTTGTGTTAAATCCATACCCATGCTTTCTGTTTCCTTAATGGTCGCCCATTTTCTTCTCTCAAAATCTCATGCAAAGTATTGGTTAATTTTGATTGATGATCTGAGCTAATACAAGTTTAAAGCCAACATTGGCATTTGAAGGACAAGTTGAAGCTTTACATGTTGCTTAAAAAATTAGCATACATCTGAAAAGCATGTTGGTTTTAAATAATGTTGGGGGGCATTGCTCTCATTTCAGCGAAAGCAATATTAATTGAAACTTAAAGCCATGAAGCTTTAATCTTATTAAACTGACAGATAAAACAGAACATCAGCTACATAAAAAGATGAATCTATAAGAACAGTGTTATAGGCTCAATTTTTAGTGGGTGAAAAAAAAAAGTACATGGCAATAAAGCAGAGTGATATTTTAACTTGTCTACTCAAGATATGTGAAAAGAGGAAGTGTCTATGAAAATTTTTTGATAGTATTGAAAAACTAACTTTATAGATACAAGTAAATCAAATTTATAATTGTTCAAAATAATACTGACAGATTTCTAAAATCTATTATTACATGCAATACACAGTACACACACACATGCTATATAGTACATATACTGTACAACAAATACATACCAATATATAAACCTATATTTATCCAAAATGTACATAATTCTGCAACAGATTAATCCTAGGATCTAAGACTATAACAAACATGCAAGCATTCTCAAAATGTTAAACTTACTTAATAGCCGTGAAAGGGACAGACAGACTGCTCTAGATGATCAAGACAATACTGAAGTTGCAAATGCTATATTCTTCAGAAAACACACTCAGTGAAGATATCAAGGAGTTATATAATTTGAAAGTTATATAATTTGGAAGAGAAGTTATATTCACTGTTGCCATGGCTCACCACTACCACCGTCACTAATACAATTCCCATTATCATCACTAACTACAAAACAATTGTATATGCATGCTAATTATTGATGTGTATCAAAATATAATTAATTATTGCATGTACAAAAAACTTTCCATTAATAAGAATTTTTGCAACCATAACTCTCGAGTGATCTCAGTACCATCTAAATTTTACATTTTAAAAATATTCTATTTAAATGATTAAGTGACTTGGAACTTCAAGTTTATATAAAACTAAATACACTACAATAGAATGTTTATAGTCCTGCATTCTGAATTATTATTTTTTATCTTTATGAAAAGTACAAAATCTGAGTCACTGAGCCCTGCACAGCAAGGGTGAAGCAGACGATAGAAAGTAAAAGTATCAAATGAATGCAAGTGTAGCTAATCAGTTTCAGCTAAAAAAAAATCCCAGAGAAATGGCTTTATATGTGGAACAGTCAGAAAGGATGAAGACACAGCAAGTATGTCAAATCAGTGCAGAAGAGGTTGAAAATACTGGTTAATCTAATAAATGAAACATTACAAAATGTTGGGAATACTGGTATAACCTGACAGTTTCTTTAAACCGGTGCAAGAGTACAGTTTCCCCACAACTGAATGTTGGTCACCAATACATACCAACAATTATATTTGTCATCTGAGTGTGTGTGTGAGAGTCACCCACAAGTTCCTTGCCCTCTATATCTGTGCGGGTGCACACACACACATAGGTACTCGATGTTGTGTTTACTAAAAATGCAATGCATCCAATGTTGAATACAGAGAGGATGCAAGAAATCACTTTCACTGCATTTTGAGAATAAGACTACAACAAAATGATGTAGTCATGGTAGCAAATGTAGATGACAGCAGAAAAAAAAATGTCTGCTACAAAAATTGAAGATAAAAGTAGCAGTCATTATTGGAAAATTTAATTAGCTAAAGCACCTAATGGAATATAAGATTATGATTTGAAATGATCAAGGAAGAACTCGAGACTTCAGGAACAGAAGGTGGAGATGATATACTTAGACCATAGGTCATTTCCCAAGCAGAAAATAACACATTAACAAAGTGGTAAACCTAGGGACTCTACAACTGTTTTTATGTATAAAGCAAAGGAGTGCAATAACAAGAGGGTGGAGCAAAAATTGACACTGTTAACTTTACACTCTTTATATCACAAAATGGGCAAGGCTTGAACCCATGGCAGGCAAGTCCTAAAACTCAGAGGCCTGTTTAATGACCTAGTTGGATGAATCTTATTAGAGCCAGCTAACTCAGTAGTTAAGTGCACTAGCCTGTGAGTTTTAGGATACCTGTCACGGGTTCAGGCCCCACCCATTCTATAATTTGTTTGCAATCGTGTTATTAATCTTACTAATACTGTATTTGTAATAATTCTGAGGGGTCATCAAAGCACAAAGGCTATAAAAACTAATATGTTAACTAATACAATGGCCATGTTGTGGATCTCAAAATTAAGGGATGTTAGAGACTGCACACACTTTCATCAGGGGGAAACTGAAAGCTTCCCTCTTTATAACAATCCCTGATAACGACATCCCCTCTGCCCTTCCTATATAAAAAAAAAATAGTTGCAGAAGTAAAGGAATGCACCTGGCCCCTACTATTGAAGAGCATCTTTAGCTTCTATGACACTCAGTTTTTAGGGAAGCAATCTGGTGTTTCCATTATAAACTGCATGGCAACTGAAGAAGAGGCCAAGCAAATTAGCAGTTCGAAGACCTGTAATAGAACTATTCACAAATAGTGGGGAAGAGACTACCAGGCCACAGTATGAAAAAACATTCTGAAGGCATAACTTTAAGCAAGTGTGAAGAGGCTCAAGGACAATCAATAGTACGTTTCAAATGAGGCAGGCACTAGCTAAATATTTGTACTAGAACAAGCAATGACAAAAGCTTAAAAAATTCTAATATAGGTATGATGTAGCTATTAAAGAAGTGATAAAAGCCCAAAACCAAACTACATAATGGCTCTCAGAATTTATAAAAATTAGTAACAAAGCAAAGCTGAAAAGGCTAAAAATTCCCTGGCTGACCATAGGAAGAGACGAGACATGACCACATTCCTCTGTCAAGTCCTAAAGGATACAAAATTTATATTTCTTAATACAGTGAAACCCTGGATTTTGTCCTTAATCCGTTCCAGAAGGTCGGTGTAAATCCAAAACAGATAAACATCGAAGCAATATTACCCATAAGAAATAATATAAATCCAATTAATGTTTCAGACACCCAATAACAAAAAAAAAAATTTAGAGAGAATAACTATAGTGCTGCAGCTCTTCAGTGGTTGTCTCTTCCCTGTGGTTGTCCACCAACTCTTCCACATCCTGGCCACTCGCATCCAACCCCATGGACTTCCCCAAAGCTACAGTACGTTCCATGACAGGCGTAGGGTTGTCAAGTTTACACTAACTTATATTAAGTTAGTAATATAACTAGGCTTTAAAACACAATAAAAAGTAAAATACACACACAGTACACTCATTACCTACCTTAAAATATTTGTAGTCTTAATGCAGGGCGAGAGGCGAGTAGTATTTATTTGTAGTCCCAAGCAGACTACATCCGCCTGGGCTATACCTACTGGTTACATACACTGCAGCCCACAGCCATATTACCATCAACATACCATGTTCACTGAGTTTAATCGTTTCTAACAGCTACCTTTAGATGCCATCATAAACAAAGGGAGAAGTAATGAATAATTCATGCCGGGAATTGTAAACAAAAACGTTAAGTTTATTAAGGGCGGTGACTGGGCCAACGCAGAGTCATACATGTTTTCTCTAACACTGGACCAGAGAAAACGCAAATGTTTTCCCTCCACCAACTCACCCCTCGATAGCATATAAACATTGCATGTTTATATGCTATGTAATGTCTTTCTTACATAATTTTGAAGAAAATCTAGATGGATTAATGAAAATGTCTATATTAATGTAAAATAAGACATTTAATGTGCCCAAGAGTGAGTCATGAACATATGAGCAGCCTAGGGGGACACATCTGATACGGACGATTTCCGGGACGAGGTATGAAATCCGGAGCAAATTTTCACCAAAAAAAAAAAAAAAATTCTAGAAATCCGAATCGTACAATATCCAGTGCGGACGAAATCCGGGGTTTCACTGTATAATCAACAGCAAGGAGTATCTATAGAGGAAGAAAACAGAGTTGGAAGAGTGGTCACCTATCATTCAACAGCAGTGTACTCTGCTCAACCAAAATGACCCAGGTTGGATTATCAGATAGCAGGGCAGGGTAGGGCAAGACATATGAATGAATTTTCAGCTCCTAAACACAAGGTTTGGGGGCCCCATGTTACCTGATTTAAGTCATGTGACCTACCTTCGTATGCTTCATCTCTCTCAACCTTTAACTTACTGAACATGACCTTAAGTGTAAGGACAAAATATACAGTAGTGTACAGTACAATACTAATTTTGTTATACTGGCTCTTATGTTTACTTGTGCTACTGAAAACTGTTTATTAACTTGCATATTTCGACATTTATGTGTTTTCTTTCTTTGATACCCGCTATTTTCAACCAGGGCAGGATGACCCAATGAAAGAACTTTCACCATCAAGTAGTACCTAGCTGTCTAACCAGACATGCATACACCAATTCAAATGAATACTGAGTTGTAACATCCCCACCCATCCTTCAGAGAGCAGGCGCTACTTCCTACCTTCAGAACTGAAACTGTTTTCCCTGGAATCTTTTCATA